TTAGTGAAGTGACTGAGTATCGCACTATGCACAGACCTGAAACCCTGAATTTGATTCCCAGATCCTACAAGGTGGCAGAAGAGAACCTAACAGTTGTTCTCTGACATATACCCTATACCCTGAGGAATACACATACACATGAGAGAGAGAGAGAGAGAGAGAGAGAGAGAGAGAGAGAGAGAGAGAGAATGGGCAGTCATTCAGAAAAATAGAATGCTCCATCTTTCTTGAAGAGACACATCCCAAATATGTTTATAAAAATCTTCAAGAAGTTAAGCTTTAAAGAAAAACTCTTGACCTTTTAAAACTTCGTATTTCCCCAATTTATCGGATCATAGTATAGTATAATATTTAAGAGGTATTGCTTCTCTTTCAGATGCTTGTGCCCATGAATGTGTACATGCACGTGTACACGGATACTTGGAAGACAGCCAGTATCACAGTGTTAGTGGCCTTACCATCCTAATTTCTGAAAGACCATCTTGTCCCTTAGTTCTGCTGGGCTTAGATTTATCTAGGCAGAGGAAAGAACTTCTGTGCACTGAGAGGAGGGATTCACGGGAAGGGAGAGGCTAGCTGAGTGAGAGGGTTCCCTTCTCAAGATCTTTCACTCCTAGTACCTTGGCAGACATATTTCTCCTTGCAAGAAACCCCTGAGGAGCTGCCACTGTTCCTCATCCCCATCCACAGCCACAGCTCAGGCTGGCCCGGGAGTCACTGCCTCCCAAGTGATAAGATTAGAATCAGGAGACAAAGGCGCGGGTGGTGCGGGGTGCGTGGAGAGCGCGGGCCTAAGGCAGCGGCGGCGGCGACGCAGGAGACCAAACAAGTGGTTCCTGTCACCTCTCTAGGTGCTCCTTAGATGCCATCCAGCTTAGCCTGGCCAATGTCCACAGCCAGGGAACAGCCAATCTTCAGCACCCGGGCTCACGTCTTCCAGATCGACCGTACTACCAAGCAGAATTGGATCCCGGCGGGCAAGCACGCACTCACTGTGTCCTATTTCTACGATGCCACCCGAAATGTGTACCGCATCATCAGCATCGGGGGTGCCAAGGCTATCATCAACAGCACAGTCCAACATGACCTTCACCAAAACCTCTCAGAAGTTTGGGCAGTGGGCAGACAGTCGAGCCAACACTGTCTATGGCCTAGGCTTTGCCTCTGAACAGCAGCTGACCCAGAAGCAGGCCAGAAGAGGGCACCAGACCTCATTACAGATGGCTGTGAGCCACCATGTGGTTGCTGGAATTGAACTCAGGACCTTTGGAAAAGCAGGTGGTGCTCTTAACCTCTGAACCATCTCTCCAGCTCTCAATTTTTTTAATAAAAAGTATTATTACTTTAAAAAAAAAAGATTAGAAACAGGAGCCCCATATCTGGCTCTCCTCCTACTCTGGTCCTTTGATATATGCAGGAATTAAGTCTTTAAGCATCTCACATGAGCAGTTTAAAGAAACAGACTACTACACAAAAGAGTTTTTTTTTTTCTTATTATAGGAACCCAGCTCTGAATGGAACAGATGTCATGCATCTGGGCCTGGACAGAGGGGCCCAGCTGCTAAGTCAGAGCAGGGCTGTCAGCAGCAGCTTCTGTATCATGGGGCAGCCTCTCTGGGCAGCTGTCCTGGCTATGCTCCAGGTCTGGGCAACCTTCCAAATGAGCCTTAGCTCCTCAGCTTCAGACTTGCGCCTGGTCCCACCCATCTGTCTGATGGGCACATTAGCGCTCAGAATGGTTCGAATGTTACTGCCTACGGATAGTATTCAAAAGTGGTGCATATTTGACTTAAGCAGACAAGAGTCTTGAAAACATTTTCTGGTACATTTATGATATGTTTTTCCAAATACCATAATATCTTAATTCTCCATAACAAACCACATTATAGATATTAAATAATAAAAAATTGGTGTAGATGCTATATATTTTAAAGTCAAGAGAATCTTTGTGGATTATTTCACTTTTTTAGAAGAGGACACTTATACTGAATAAATTCAAGTAATTGGCATATATTCATATTGGAATTAGGTGTATCTGAATCCAACTCTGTGCTTTCACCTAATTCTATAAAGAATAAAAAAAGTCATCTTGGAACGACAAATTGGCCATAAGATGAAGCATCAAACCCTTGAGGCATACATACAGATGATGCACACTTTATTATTTCAGTTAGTATAAGAGTTTTTTAAAAAACAAAGGAAAAATAAAATATTTTTAAAATGCTGACATCTTGAGTGGCGTCAACTTTTATAATTCTGGAAGGTTCTATGGAGGCTGATGGGAGGAAAATAAGGCATTAATGGTATTATCCAGGATGATCCCTGCATTGTGCAATATTGACCTGGCTGGCAGATGTGTTCATTTGGTGCAATAGTGGCAAGAGTATTTATGGGATTAATCAATTGTTCTCTAGATAGTCTTCTTCACAAGAGGAAATGTATGGATGATGCTGTAAACACGGTCAAAACTCACAGCCTAGGTAAGTCATAGGCCTTATGGGAGAATTTTGGGTGATGCTGTTTGTCTAAATGACTAAGTTATCAAATGCTTCCCAAATATTTGTAGATTGGTACTGCTCTCAACTTTGGTCAGAGAGCTTCTCAATTGGTAGTGGTTAATGCAAGGATGCATTACTACACAGAGTGACAAGACGAATGGACTGCGAGTGCTCGGCTGTAAATGGGACATCTGCGTCAACTCCATGCCAAACCTCAGGGAACTTCATCAAAGAGGTAAGGAATGTAAAAACCAGAGGATGTGGAGAGGTGGCATGAAATACTGTTCCCTGGACTGTTACACACATGAACCCAGGACAGCAATGATTACTCACTCAAGATCTATAGACACTGAATGTGGCCGGATTTTCTGAATGTGGCTGGCTCGGGGTCTTTCTGAAAAGCCATTGACAATGACACTGGGACTTGTTTCCTCTGCGTGTAATGGATTTTTGGGATCCAGTCTGTTTGGATGCTCACCTTCCTGGACCTGGAGGGAGGGGGGAGGAACTTGAACTTCCCACAGGGCAGGAAACCCTGACTGCTCTTAGGGACGAAGAGGGAGGAGGAGAGGGAGTGGGGGGAGTGGACGGGTGTTGGAAGGAGAGGCGGAAATGGAAACTTTTATAAATTAATAAACTTTTATTAAAAATCGAAGATCTATAGACACGACCAAGCCAAATAAAAATTCCAGCATGAAGAACTATTTAGCAGTCGCTGACGGGTGAGAGAGTCCCTTTTCTTTAGGGGTGTGGCACTACTTGAACTTCGCGATCTAAAAGTAAAGGATAAAAGGAGCATATGAAGTGGGAAAGTTGATGTTATGGCGTGGCCCTGTAAGGAGTTGGAGGGTGGGAGATGAAGGATGGATGTGATTCAGATACAGTGAATAAATACATGACATATTTCAATGAATAGGGAAACAAAAGATGAAAAGAAAATCATGTCCCCAGAACTTAATTTTTAAAAATTTTTTTAAAACATTACTTGGACTTTTCCCTACCATGCTGTGCTTAACTAGTGTCAGGGGGTTCTCCATTGGGACTTGAAATGAAATTTGGGGCCATAGTGAAAAAGAAACCCAATGCAGAACAATCCTAAAATTAAAAGAGAATGTACATGTGGAAGCAGTCAGAGTTAGCAAATGAGGGGAGCGCTTTGTAAAATGAGTATTCCGATAAGTATTGATAAGTAAGTGTAATAGTTAAATTTCAATTGTCAGTTTAATGAGACTTGGAGTCACCTAGGAAAGGAACCTCTGGGCATGCCGTGGGGGTTTATCTTGATAAATTTTTGAGGTTGAAGACCCGCCCACTGTGTGTGGCACCATTCTCTGGACTGGGATCCTGGACTGTATAAAGAGGAAAAGGTGAGTTGAGCGTAAGCATTTGTGTCTCTCTCTTTATTGACTGCAGACGCAACATCACTAACTGCATCAAGCTCTTCCTGTGACGTCCCTACTGTGCTGGACTGGTGAACCAACATCAGTTCTTTCCTTAAAGTGCTTTGTGACTGGAGAGGTAACTAAGATAGTAAATAATGTTATAAAGAAAGAATAAAATCAGGAGAGAGATGTAGCAGATATCTAGACTGAATAGAGAACCATCAAAGACACAAAGAAAAGGCCCAGCAGGAGAGGCTGGAGCAATGGTGGAGGCATGGTCAGTGGTGCTAAATGCTACCTGGGGTGAAAGTGAAAGAGGCGAACTCTTCAAGAGTTCAGTAAGGCTTCCTGAAACTGGGAGATGGCAAACAGATGAGGGTGTAATAGACTTTAAAAGTCCAACTCTTTAAAAAAAAAAAAAAGGTAGTCATTTTCTAGGATAAGGAAAACTGAAGTGGTTTAAGCATAACAAGCTAAGTGTTCAGTAATAAACCTGTGGCCAGTGAGTGAAGACGCCTGCTAAGCCTGATGGCCTGAGTTCAAACCCCAGGATCGACATGGCAGAAGGAGTAGACTTACTCCTTCAAACTGTCCTCTAGCCACAGCATGCATGCTGTGACATGGGTATGTACACACACAATGCATGTATACATACGTACACGAATACAAATAAATGCAATAAAAATTGAAAAAGAAATTAATACATAAAAATTGCTTTCACTGATAGTATTTGAGTAGCCACTTCTGGGAATTTACCTGAATGTGAAAGTTATGGAAACCTCAGGTAGGAAGAAGTCCACTCCTCTGGGATAATTGCGAATAGATTTTATCGAGAGACAAGTCTCATTTTTAAACCCCTTTCTGTTTGGCTGCAGGAGTGGATTCTACTTCTAAGTAAATGAAGGGAGACTTTCCCAGATTCCCTTCATCCCCAGGTGTGGTAAACACAGTAGCAGTCCTCTCAGAGGATGAGCTTCCTACCTATGAGCTGACAGGTAGTAGATGCTTTGTTCTTCACTCTCCTACACTGAAGCAGAGGATGTGGCTAGCGAGGAGGCGGAGACTGTGCAGATGCATGTGCAGATGTGTGTGTGTTTTCTCACATCCGCTTCCCCTTTTGAGCTGACAGTTGAATGAGAACAGAGAGAAAGTCACCGTCCTCGATATGAGACAATCTCACCGTCCTCTGTTCTGTCACCACTTCTGAGTAGGGCTCAGACCCATTTGGAGAACTTTCTTACCTCTGGTAAGTGTATCTTTTAGCTTGGTTTCAGGGTAGGGCTGGTAGTAATAGAGAGAAGGACATGGGTCAGGAGAAAAATCTTGCTTCCAAGGAAAGAGATGTGTCAGGAGACAACCTCCCATCCCTGACTTCGACTCTACACATTATCACTGGCCTTTCTGAACAAGGTTTCCTCACTTACCTCCTGATTACCAGATGAGATTGTTCTAGGGTCATGAATCATGGTCTCACTTGATGAGTTGAATTGATATTTTTTTCCATGAGAGCTCTTCTTAGCATCTTGCGGAACTCACATGTGGGCTCACTTCATTCTATTTCCAACTATGAAGAGTTCTAAAGGAGAACAATTTCAGGACAACAATTTCTGAATGGCGGGTCCCGTTCTAGAGCCCGTATCTCTGAATTTAGGAATACCTAAATCTGGATCTTTTTCTTTAGAATCTTCAGAGAAGATGTGGAGGAAAAATGCAGTGGTGTATGTGAAAGTTATGTAGGAGAATTCACATGGCTGGACAATGACAGGCCAGATTTACTAGAGGCCCACAGTTCATATTCAGTGAACACTAAATTTTTCTCCGTATCTCATTCTAGATATGATCACCTTTCAGTGATCTACCTAATCATGGGGCTGGAGTCTCCAACACACTTTGCTTCAGGGTAACCATCCATCTGTATCCTGGGGAGGGGGGAGGCATAGAAATATCGTTCACACCAGGTTTTTCTCACAGCCCTGTGTTCTACTAAGGTCATTAGTGGGTGGAAGAGGTGAGCCCCATCATGATAAAAGTATACTGTAGAAGTGGCTTAATAAGATAATAATCATTTGGAAGCAATGACCAAGGACATACTTGTGACTTGTATTTCATAAATATCCTTAATGGGAGGTTTTATGCGTTTCAGGGGGAGTTAGTGTTTGGGAGCTTGAAAACTGTGTGCCCGAATTTCCGATTCAGCAGATATTCAGCAAGAGTGGTGAGAGCCACAGGTCTGTGTTCTCCTATGCAAGAACCGATGGTGAAAAGAGGAGAGACCAGGTTTATTGGTTGACTGCTACCGAGGAATTATCACTGCCAGCAAGATGAAGCCATAGTAGGAGGGATAGAAACAGAATCAATACGTGGTTTATTTACAAGCACCCAGGTCATTTAGAGGCTATTTATAATCATATTAATAATTTTCTCGTAACTCCTTTGACCCTCTGAAAGTTGAAATATTTTCCTAGCATGAAGCATTATATAGTGGCTGTGGAGAACCAGCACAATCCTTTTAGGTTCAAGGCCTGGGATTCAGATTCTAATAGATGATAAAGAGAAAGTTTGATTCTTCACCCTTAGTGACAGCAAGGGAAAAGATAAAAGCAGTTCTTTCTACTTTCAGACCAGGAGCTATCCTGATTTCCACTTAGGGGCCAAGAAAAGTGATGAACCACAAACCCACAGCACTGTGCCCAGACCATGCCCAGGCCCAGTGAGAAAGCCTAAAACACAGATTTAGGCTGAGAAGAGAATTGTGTCAAATAAACTGAAGGATGAGAAGATTGTGTGTATCTACTGTGTAATAAAAAGGGGAAAGATGAGAACAGAAGTGAAATAACTTTATGACCATGAAACAAGACTTTGAATCAATGATATCAATGCAAAGGGATCACTCAGAGGTCAAGAAGTCTCTTCACTCATCCTAAACATGTCTGTTCGAAGCCATGTATAATTAGCCAGGTTGAGCTGCTATTTCTTATTCTTGATATGTTTGTAGCTTACCCATATTTTTTTAAATGGCGCCTCTCACACATCAACAGTACAGGATGACTTGCTCCAAATATATGATTTTAATATTTCCTACGGTCATTTATAAACACAAAACTCACTCACATCTGAATGCTGAAGGAAGAAGAAAGGGAATGAGAGGGAAAGAACTTGGATAGTTTGCTTTCAGTATCCGGCTAAGCTAGTTTGTGGAAAGAAGGGCATGAAAAAGGAAAGTCAAAGGAGTTACACTGAGTAGCTGACATTTTCTCCTTTTATTATTTCATAAATAACACCCCATTTTTCCACCCCCTGAAAGAAGAGATTGAAGTGCTCCCTTAGGCCATAAATATTTCAGAATGCTCTTACACCATAAGGATAAGCCTTGGTCCAATGATCTTCCTAGTGGAATATTGAGAAACAGAAACAAGGAAGACAGCTATCACTGATCTAGGAAGGAATGTGATAGTCTATTGTAGATTCTGGGTATGCAGGCTTGAGGAAGGTCCGCCTGGCTTGAGGTTAAGTTTGCTCTGTTCATAGAGACATGCTGCTTGCTCTGGGATTTCCCCAGTCTTCTGAATCAGTAAGACTATGCCTGGCCTATGGATGCAGAAATTCTGTTGGGCCACATCATGGAAACTCTATTTCCTTTTTCTCTTTTCTTATGCTTGATCTCACTTTCAGTCCAAATTCACAGGTACTACATGGGGCATAAGTAACACACAAACAGAGAAGAGAAACCTTTCTAGTTTGTGTCTGCGGAAGGAGGCCCACTGAAGACTCATCCAGAACCAAGAGTGGCAGAAAGAAGGCTGTGTGATAAAAAAAAGAAGAGAGAACACATTTGGGATACAAATTTGTGAGTCCTGTTTTCTGTCCTCCCTTTTTCCCTTTCTCCCCCTATCCCTCCTTACTCCTCCTTATCTCTGTCTAGTTTTCTCTTCTCTAAAATGAGTGACAAGGATTAGATTTCTCTCTGATCCCTCTGAGCATTATATAAGAATAGGTACTATTGGGTTAGAGAGATGGTTTAATGGGTAAAACTTCCTGAGTACCTGAACTCAGATCCTCAGTACAAATGTAAAAATTTGGAGGTGGTGGTGCACATCTATTATCAATGTTGAAGTAGCAGGGACAAAAGACTCCCAAGGGCTCACTGTCTGGCCAGCCTGGCAATTCAGTGCATCGCAAATTTAGTGAGAGAGTATTTCAGAGAATGACAGAGGAAAATATCAAATATGGCCCTTTGGCCTCTATGGGTGACATATGGGTACATGTATCTGTAAATATATACCACATACACACACACACACACACACACACACACACACACTTAGAAAAAACCGAAGGGTTGTTTTATCTCACAGTGCCTAACGTGAGCACACCTATTTAACATTTCGGTGTTGCACATTCTAGTGTATTCTGATGGCCACTCCCTTTTCTACATTCTGATTCTTAAAACTATTCTACTTTTAGAGATTGGATATAGTAAGAGAAAATTAATTGCAATATTGCACATTATTTATTATCTACTTTTAATATCTGATAGCCCAAAATGTGTGACAATTATCTGTTTACATATTGAAAGCACTTAACATACAGGGAGGTTCAATAATTTTTCAAAAGACTCACAAGTATAAATGGACAGACTATGGTTTTAAACAGGAATATTCTGATTCCAAGACCCAAGCTCTTCCTAACTTTTCCCCGAGTTTCTAAATAACACTCTAAAGAAAAAGAAACACTACCAACTGGGCCTTTTAAACACTTTTAAACACTACCTACTGGACCTTTTAAAACATCCCCAAGTTGAGCCACATATAAACAGAACTGATGTTTGTCAACTTCATGGTGGTAGGCCCATTTGTTGTATTTAAATATTAAACTGGGTGGGAAGGAACAGAGAGCAGTAGAGGGAGGGGAAACTGTTACCAGGATATTATATGAAAAAGGTCTATTTTCAATACACATAAAAGAAAGGAGAAGGAGAGATGGAAGAGGGAGAAGCAGCAGCTGAAGCAACAGCAGCAGCAGCAGCAGCAGCAGCAGCAGCCCATTTGGCACATTGTTAATATAACACATCACAGAAATGCATCAACCACAATTTCCAGTTCTAAATGAAAATCACATTTCTCCCTTGCGGGAGAAAGCTATGTTCACAGCAAATTGTGGAAGATATTCATTGCTCTAGTGGTAGATACTCATTGCTCCGGGCCTTCTGAAAGCAACCAATCCATCCCTACTTTTCCCACAATGTTTCCCAGACTGTTTTAAAACAATCCAGAAGCTCAGTAACTGGGCCTGTGCTGAACAGGGCTGTGACTACTGTAAACTCTGTTAGTTTAGTCAGTGTCCTTCTACAGCTTCTACTTAATATTCTAATTCTACAACATCAAAACAATGAAGAACACTTTCATGTAATCTTGAATCTTGAATCTTTTTTTGTTAGAAAACTTCCCTGAAAGCCCAAGGGAGGGTTGTATGCTTCAAGATCAATCACCAAGATGGAGGCAGGAAGAAAACCATGATGCTAGCACAAACAAAGCAATACTTTTGCTGTGATTATCACACAGCTAAGTACAAAATGTGTTGGGTTTATGCTATTTCTCCTGTACTAGATCCTAAAATAGAAATCTGAACAGTGTGTCAAGTGGAGAATTTACTAAAATGTCTCTACTTTCCTTCATCCCAGATTGTATTATCTGCTGATACTTGGATGACAATAGGCTACTTTATTATTTCAGTATGTGTGGAAAGATTTTCCAACATGGAATCAGACCAATGTGACCTTAAATCCAAGCCCTTCAAGGTCCCAAATACCCATCTGTGAATGAGGCATTCTCTCTAGGCTTCAGATACTAATGATTAGCTTAAGGTGTTGGTCAGGATTAAGTGAAGTAATTAACAGGACATATATATATATATATATATATATATATATATATATATATATATATGAAGATCTACACAAATCAGTTATTACTAATACCCACTCTTTGATTCACCATGTCAGTGCATTATGAAACTCCAGCTGCTTCTTCTAGAAAATGGAATGGCAATGTAAAACTGGCAAGATGCTGGCAATGTTCTCAGTTCAGCAATAATAACATTTTCTCAATTTTCACTACCGCTGCAGTCATTGTTTTTGATATTTTATTGGAAGACAGACATTCAGAGTTCTTAAACAATCCTTTGCTCTTAAGCCACAGATGTGGTTTCATCCTGACTTCTATAAATTCTGCCTTTTCTATACCCTTCACAGAACAAAGAACATCCTCTCTTGCTCTATTTGGTTGTAGTTAGATTCCAGGCCTCTTGGTAGGCTATGGTAAATAATTCAAGGAAAACAATTCTAGAGAAACATCTAGAGAAGTGGAAGGACAAAGGGCAATGATGGGGGGAGAAGCCTTAGTGGGAATTCAGGCAAGAACTGACCCTATGTGGCACTTTTCTTGAGTTAGTGGGAAAATGGGAGAAAAGAGTTATGCAGGCTTCTGTCTCCACATTGGATAAGTACAGTCAATGTTATAACAGAATCAGCATCAAGGAAGATTGTAGAGTTCAGAGAAGTTTTTTGAGTAGGAATTGAAAACATAGAGTAGAAAATAATTTTCTAAAAATAGGATAATTTGCTAGTTTAAGCTTTAAACCTTAATCAGATTTGAGTTGCCCTTATGTTGTATTAACTAAAGCCTGGGAAGATGACGCCCCATAGCTTCTCTTCACTACAAGGCAGGTAGCACACACACAGAAGATCTGAGGCTATAGAGAAAGGTAGTTGGTCTGTACCTCTTCAGTGACATATACTAGTTGAGTGCAACTTCCCAGAAAAAGTATGAATCTTGCTCTTCAGGAGGTGAAGGGTTTGCTGAGTTACCGCCATTGGAAAAACACCATACCATGTCTTGTTGTTGGGCACTAGGGAGATTGTACAAAGGATGGTCCCATTAACACAGACACGGCACACATTGTCTTCTTGAATATGACACAAGCGCACATGTTGGTTGCTAGACACTGATTGGTAAAATGGTGTGAATGCAAATGGCAGTTTGTTTTTTACACTTTTACTTTTTATTATCATTTACCATTATCATTGCTTGTATGTGTATGGTATATGTGTAGGGAAGTCAGAGGGCAACCTTCAAGACTCAGCTTTTTTCCTTCTACCTTAGATTGCAGCGATTAAATTCAGGTCATCAAGCTTGTGTGGCTGGCATTCTGACCTGATTCCTGCCTATGCTCTTTACCCTGCACGATGTTTCTTTATATTGCGAGAATGTGTTTTTGTCTGATGACTCTTGTTGTGACTGGAACATTTTGAATAACCATTTTCACCCCTATCTCTATATTAGACAGCCTCCCTCCAAAAGCCTCCAAAGTTTCACCTTGCCATCTCCACCCCCATCTGTCATTTCTTTGTAGCATACTCAGTTGGTGTGCTTATCTGATATCATTTGCCACTTCCTCCAAGTTTCCAGAAAGAACACTTAGTTTTTTTATCTGCCAGCAGTATATTTTAGTCTTGTTACATCAACCAGACCCTTCTATTTATTTCTATTTCCCAATATTACTATCCATTCTTACAATAGTTACATTTATTACTTTGTGAACAGTTTACTATAAACCCAAACATGACAAAGATTAGGGAAAATTAATTTCTATTTAGATCCCACACCAATGAACCATATTTGGTAAGGTTGGTTCCTTTACATCCTCTCTCCTGAGATGATCGGTGTGCTGTGTTGGGAGGGGTGGATGGGGGTGAGTATTTTCACACGTGCATGTGCACACATGCATGTGGAGGCCAGAAGTCAAGGTCAGGAGTTCTCTTCCATCAGTCTCCATCTTAAATCGTGAGATCGCGTCTTACATTGATGCCGGAATTTGCTAGACTGGCTGGCCAGAAGACTCAGGAATCACACTATGCCCACTCTCAGTGTTGGGATTACAGGCATGTGCTGTAGCTCTCAGCTTTTTTCTTATAGGTTCTGAGGATCTAACTTGAGTTGTTCTGCTTGCAAGCACTTAGAGGTTAAGCCATATTTCTAGCCCCTGCAATAGCTGTCTTTTAAAGTGAAGAAACAATTCCATTCTCATCCAAATTGCCAGAAAATGACTGCTCTTTGCAGTGGGTGGCAGAACTCTTAGCTCACTGCTTTCTGCTGCCTGTAATTACAGCCTGTTTTGGAAGCCTTCCATTGTGGCTCCTTAAGTACTGAACATTCTGCTTCCATGCACACTTTCCTTTAGGTATTTGCAGGAAGCAAAAATTCTGTGTAAGAACGCACAGACAAGGAACAGACATTTTCAGCCACACGTCACTGCTGTCCTCAGTTGCAAGAACAGTCCTTAGCATAATCATCTCATCTCTTTTTTCCCAATGTTCTGCTCCCAGACATTGTTAATTTTTTTGGAAGCCTTGAAGCTGAGCACTGAGTATGCCTCTGGTGACTTGTAAGGCACTGGGCTCCCATGGAGCATAGTCACCTAAGAAGCACTCATTTATTTAGAGTATATGTTTAGCCAAGAGCGTGTTTGATTCTGTTTCAGACATTGGAAACACAGCAATGGACAATCTAAACAAGCACCTCCTACCTGGAGCTTATGTCCTAATTAGAAGAGTAAATAAAACATAAGAGAGATTAATAAAAGTGTAATGTATGTTGATGATAATAACCAAAATGAAAAGTCAAGCAGAAAAGTCACACAGGGACAGGGTTAAGGGCAAATGCAGAAGCTACACCTGGGTTCCTGGAGAAAATTAGTTGAGAATGGATTGGGGGATTTGTGGCTTGAGTACAGCAAATACTTACGGTGAAAAAGGAGAGGAAAAGATGTAAGAAAAACCATGGCTAAAAGAGGTGGAGAGGAAATTAGCTTATTTGAATGAGAGCATCAATAATGTGAGGCACATAATCTAGAAACATATCCAAGAGGGTGCAGAGACCTTTTACTTGTCATGCCAGGTAGGGAATCTTCTCTAACAAGGGGCTACAGGGGGATTTTGATACTGACAATAAGGTGTCAGAGTACAGTGTGGCAGTCCTTCCTCATTATGTCTCTCCTCTCTTTCTCTGTCCTTTCTTCTCCCCCCATTTACCTCTCTCTTTCTCTCTCTCCTTCTTTCACTCTCTTCCCCTCATACTTTCCTTCCTCATTCTCTCCCATTCTCTCTCAACTCCCTCCACCTCCATCTTTAGCTCTCCCTCCCTCTACCGTTCTGCCTTTTCCCCATGCTTCCCTTCCCTTGCTGACCTCCTTTGAAGTTTTCCTAGCCACCAAAAATGTCCTTGTACATCAAGGATTCCCTGTGATTTTTGTGAGGGAATTAAAGAAACAGGTAAGCCAACTTCTGGCATTCTCTTTTCTGGGTTGGCTGGAAGCAGCCTATTAAATATTTTGGAAGGCAGGACTAGGAAAACACACTTTGATTCAGGCTTTATGGAGACTTCCTGAATCCTGGAGGCAGCTCCATCCTCGATCACCTAATGCCAGCAAGTCTCTTCTGCTGACCTTCTTTGTAGCTTTCCTTTGACCTGAGCTTAGTTAAGAATATTGAAATATTGAATATTTCCTAAAAGGCAAAAAGAAGTGCAGAGCATAACAGTCTCACAGTGCTAACAACTGCCTTACCTAGAAGACAAAACCTGGACTGGGCTTGAAGGGAAGGGTCCAAGATTAGACAGCAGCAATATACATTGTCTTTCCTCAGTATACATCTTATCTGTAGCAAAACAAATCAACTAAAAAAATTTATTGCACTAATAGAATATTTTATGTTCAGGATGTTGTTTTAAAAGGTAGCTGTTTTAGTACCTGAATCTTTGAACATCTCACTAATGAATCTTAAAAGAAGGCTCTTGAAATCTCTATATTTTTCTCTTTTATTTTCCTGAACCAATACAATTCAAAGTATAACACCAAAGATGAAGTGATGCATGGCTGCTCCAGGGAATGGAAAAATAAAATCTGAAAGTTTTGTTGCTAGTCTACTAGCTCCTGGTGGAGGGATGTGGCTGTGACTGAGTGTGCATTAATGCCTGCCTTTCAAGACAGTGAGTGATGACTATTGGAGCAACCGAATGATTCTTTCCATTTATTCTTCTCAGAATATGTGCCTAGAGGCATTAGTATATATTTTGAGGAAGAATGCAGAAGTGCCAGATGAACTATTACTATATGGACAGACAACTGCATTGACAAACTGAGTAAGTAACTTATAGTCAATGTGGAAATACAAGTTCACAAACTAGAAAGTGACCACTGGAGGCATGGCTTAAGATAGTAAACTCAGCATCTCCTTGTTTATATTATATCTTCTTTTCATCCTGGGAAAAGAATATATCAAACTGAAAACCAAACAAATCCAAAAACAAAATAAAATGTAAATTTTAAGATTTTGGTGAGTGTGCGTGTGAATTGCATGCATGGGTAAATGCGGATGTGTGTGTGTGTACAGACTGTGGCCAATAGAAATGCCTTCCTGAATCTCTCTTCACCTTGTTTTTTGAGATAAGCTTAGAATTTTCTTATTTAGACAAAAGGGGGAGGGGTTGTGGGAACTTCTTCAGCCAGTAGCCTTTAAGATACTAGTCCACTTGGGCATGATCTCTTATACTATAAATGCAGCCATAAAGCTTGTATGCTCTCTCTTGGCTGCCAGATTTGGTTCCTGCTCGGCATTTGTGCAGAGGACTGTGATCTGTGAGTCTACCCCTGAATAAAGAACCCTTTATTATACTCAATTCTGAGTGAATATGGATTACTCTATAGCATCCATCTTCATCTGGTACCCATGTGAATCCCAACTCCATGCCTACTAGGATAGGCCCAAAAGGCTCAAAAGGTTTGAGGCCTAGAAGGTCTCCACCCCCACCTGCCTGACTTGATTTCACCTATTAGGTGTTTTTTTGTTTTGTTTTTTTTCAAAATCCCACCACTGCGGAGGTACCGTGCAACAACTTGGTAATTTCTTTGGCTCATGCATGCCCCCCTGTGCCACTTTCCCTGCTGTGTGGTGAATTGCACGCTTTCCAGTTTTTGTTCCCTGCTCACAAGCTCTGGCTTCCTTGATATTCTGACCACCAAAAAAAAAAAAATCTTCATGTATATAATTGATTTAATTGCTCCTAATTTGTCATGCAAAACACATTTGTCAGTGTTTAAGCAGATGCCAAAGTGGAACTGAGCAGGAAGGACTGTTCATGCTACTGCTGGTTGTGTCTCTGTTGCTATGCGGTGGCAACCACAACACCTGTTGGCAAATAACATCTATAACAGCTTACTAAAATCTCTTAAAGGAGGTAACTTTATTTGATTAAAAAATAAATCAATATATTTGGAAGTTACATAATTGCAGATAACTTTAGCATCCAGGAATTTAATAACCTTTTTGCTTATGCTGTGGATGGTATTCTGCAAGGTTTGTATGGTTTTTCTGATATATCAATTTATTGGATATTGGGACTTAGATTTGTTTTTCATATTATGTCCTTAAGAAAATGGTTTGATAAGAGAGCCAAGAATCAGTCACTTTTAAGAAATGATACAGTCTTTACAGACTAATACTGAACAGCAAGCTGACAAAATTAATACCATTGAAAAGAATAAAATTAATCTGACAGACAAAATTCAACCCATGTTAAAGAGTACTGAGAAATAATATGAAAGGACTCATTGAATTTGCTGTTGAGTTTGAAAATCAAAATCTGCTAAAAAAAAAAGTTATGATACATTAGCAGATAGAATATCTCTCCAGGAAGGTCATCTGCACACCATCCAAATGATATCCAAGAATGAGAAATAATGCTTAATGGGAAATTTTCATACCTTGGAATCATATGTGCAGAATAAGAACCAGAGGCTAAATGCCTCAATGAAAGCACTAGAATTATATGCAGGTCAAGAGAGTTAGGCTTTACAAAATGCAGTGGTAAAATGATTTGAAATGAGTGAGGAAATTATCAGAGCTGATGAGCAGGGAAAGAAGGTTCAAGGACAAGATTTAACATCACCAGTACATGTCACAGTCAGAGATGACTTACCCAGGATTTTAACTTCATACCCTCTAATCACTTCTGACAAACCATTAAGTTCTAAATGGACAAAAGGATCCAAAGAATGTAGATGTAAACCTATAGGTATGAGCAATTTAAAAGAAATTAAGCAAGCAGTAGTATTTTATGGTTTGCATTCATCAACTGTTAGCAAATGGTGAAAAGATGGGCTTCAAGCAATAAGACAACCCCACAAAATTGATTTCAATTAGTCTCAGCAGTCCATAGAGATGGAACTCAACTGCTATGGAAATGCTATTAGCGAGAAGAGGAAAAAATTTAGAACAACAGGAAAAAGCAAAAGAATTTGAGTCTTCCCAAGATAAAATTATTAGTGAGGGCATTTATGCTGACCCACAGAATCAAGCTCTTTATGATGAAGACATCTTGTCCCTATGCCACACAGCAATCTTAAATACTTGGGACAGGATTCAAGAACAAGGAAAAATAATTGAATCTTATATTAGGGTTAAACAGGGCCAAAGAGAACACTTCAGTTACTTTTTTACAAAGATTAACTAAGGCTATGCAAATAGGAATAACAGACCCAGAAGCTAGACAAGTACTTATTGAATCTCTGGCTTCTGAAAATGTCAACTTAGAATGCAAAAAGATACTTGGACTTTTAAAGGTTAGATCAGCACTATTGAATGAATGGATCCTGCATACAATGAACATTGAAATGAAACATTTGACTATATTACTGGGCTTAAGTAGAAGTAATGTCCAAAGTTATGAGGAGATATCAAAATGCCAAATGTTTTAATTGTGGTAGAAAAGGAAATCTGACAATAGATTGTGGACAAGGAATTTTTAGAAATAATGTCTCCTCTGGGAATGGCAAAAATAGAAGTTCTCAATCTTCTGGATTATGTGGAAGATGTGGCAAAGGCCAACATTGGACTGATGAATGTAGATCAACAAAAGACAGACAAAGCAACCTGATACCATTGGGAAACTCCTTAGGGGGCCTCTCTCAGGCCCCAATGTGAAACATGGTCTAGTCATTCCCAGTCAATGTGGAGAACATGCCCCACCGGGAAAAATTTAAAAATTCCATTACCTGCTGTAAAAAAAAAATCATACTGTTCTGGATGATGGAATAAAAATGGAGGATGAATCAAAAATTCCAATAGGAAATAGGAAGCATAATTTTGCCAGACCTCTATAAATGGTAAAAGACCAAAGCTAATAGTGTGTGTAAATAATATTGTAATTTAGGGATTAGTGGACATAGGCTTCCAAATTGCCCTTTTCAAGAGGCATATATTCAATTCCTGGGAATTGGAACTCTATCTCAAGTCAAACAAAGCACAAGATGAGTTGAATGCATAGGACTAGAAGGACAGAGAGCAAGCCTGAGGATAATATCATAGTGAATTTGTGGGATTGTGACCTGCTGTAGCAATGGAATACTCAGTTTAAGATTTCTGCAGAAGGATTTTATAAGGTGCTATAAACAAAGGTCATGAGCTATTCAGGCTGTGCAAGAACACAAAGCAACTAGCAAATCTTCAGAGATACTAATGGCCCAACATTTAAAAAGGTTAACTGAGAAACCAATATGGTTTAAACAATGGCTGTTAACAAAAGAGAAACTGCAGACTTTAGAACAGCTGGTACAGAAGCAACTAGATGCTCACCATATTGAAGACTCAACCAGCTCTTGGAATTCTCCTGTATTTGTTATTGAAAAGAGATCAGGAAAATGGAGAATGGTGACAGATCTAAGAGCTGACAACAAAGTAATTCAACCTATGGATACTCTACAATCTGGAATTCCTTTGCCTTCCCTATTACCTAAAGGATAACCTCTTATAGTTATTGATTTATTAGATTGTTTCTTCACTATACCCTTGTAAGAAAAGGACAGAGAAAAATTTGCCTTCACAGTAACTACTTATAATAATTCTCAGCCTTCTAGGAGATGTAAGTGAACTATGCTCCCATAGGGAATGCTCAGTAGCCCCACCCCGTGCCAATACTTTGTAAGTCAAATGATGCAGAGTTGACTTCATTATTCATTCAGGTTCAAGATATAATTACAAATAGGCTTTGTCCCATCTACATAACACACATGCAATTCCATATGGGTCTGCCAGGTTTTCTAGCACAGAGTAATACAGAAATTGATCAATTATTGTTTGGAAATATGCTGAAGGCCTCAGAATTTCATAAAAAGTATCAAGTTAATAGCAGAGGTTTAAAGAAAGAGTTTTCTATTACATGACAACGAACTAAGTAGATTATAAAGAGATGTCCTACTTGCTCTTTCTATAACCAAACACTGCTACCTGCAGGGAATAACCCAAAGGGTACTACTCAGAGGAATGAAATCTTGTAGATGGATTGCTCCACTTTGCAGAATTTGGAAAATCAAAATATATGCATCACATCATTGACACTTATTCAGGTTTTCTATGGGCAACTGCTTTGAGCTCAGAAAAGACTGATTCAGTAATCACACGTTTATTAGAAGTTATGGCCAATATCGGTATACCTGCACAAATAAAGACAGATAATGATGCAATGTATGTCTCTAAAAAAATGAAACAGGTTTTTTTTGCTTACTATAATATAAAGCATATTACAGGCATATCAAACAATCCTACAAATCGGGCAGTTTTAGAAAGGTCACATCAAACTGTAAAATATGTATTAAACAAACAGAAAGGGATGGAAGATACCCCCAGAAATTGATTTCATAATGATTTATTAGCCTTGAATTTTCTTAAGGGTAGTAAGAAAGGAACAATAACAACAGAGAAACATTGGACAATAGAAATTAATTCTGAATTAAATTAGTCAATGTTTTTCAATTATGTGTTGACCTCAGAATGGAAACCAGGAGATATGCTGTGTTGGGGAAGGAGTTTAACTCTTGTCCCTACAGAAGAATAAAACCTATGAATGCCATCAAAATTAATAAAGATTTAGTTTTAAAAAAAGAAACCTATTGATAAACACAAATGGCAACTCATTCATAGCTGTGACAATCATACAGGTGGTAAGAAAACCTCATAACAGTTGGGCAGGGTCCTATTCTTGTCTTTGCAGGAAAATACTCATGTTCAAAAAGTTAAGAGTACCTGGATATTTAGATGCCTAAAGAAGAAAAGATAACTATCCAGAAAGGACTACCAAGCAAAGAGAAAAATGATTTATGAGGACAGGTCATCTGCAGGGTAAAATTTTATTACCTGAATATATACATATATATATGTATATATATATACATATACATATATATATATATCCATCCTTAAAAATCAAAGCTGGCTTTGGAATTGGACAATGACTACCTTGTCTAAATCCAAGCATGTTGTTGAAGAAAAAATTCAGAGTTTCTGTTTCATGTCAGGAGCCATCTGATATGGAACAGAAAAAAGAAATAATTTCAGAAAAATTTTACTTTTCTCCATACCTATGTTTGTTTCTATCATACCTTTTGTTGAATGTATTTCTATATGATTAATGTTTAAGTTTTCCATAATGAACAATAAATTTTCCTGCAGTAATCTTTAAAGTTTCCAGGAAGAAGATGGGGCCCCAGAACAATGATTCGACCGCTTTGATATGATGTCATGACATTGTTAGCACTACTTTAAAATCAATTTTGGGTTTCAGCTGCTCAAAATGATTCCCACTTGGCTAGCTGAAATGTTGCACCTTCTTACAATGTTCTGGCCAGAACTTCAAATAAGAACTTCAGAAAAACCCAACCAAATATTCAGAGACTATTTGCATTTATTCCAGAAAGTAATCTTGAAACTTAATCATCATTTTACTTTTACAGAATCCCATTGAAAGAACATTGGCCCCATTACAGCTGGAAGCAATTCTAGAATATGACCTCCCATCTCCCAATAAAGTTTGTCCTCAGAGTTAGGGATATCAATTATGGGTTGATTATAACTGGTATAGGGTTGGGGGTTGGGGTGGAAATTATGTAGACTCAGGGATCTTCTTTGAAAAAAAGGGGAGAAATTGGATGGGATAATAAGTAGATTAGTGTGAGTGTATTCACACTAATAATAATAGGAGGTTATAGAATAAATACTTGTGAGTTATTAATTATAGACCATTTATATTTGTAAAGATTCTTGTATATTTATACAAATTCAAATTGTGTTTGTTATATTGAATATGCTCCTTTTTCTGTTTACAATATTTCTACACCTAGGCAAAGTTATTTTGTTCATATTATATGCATGCATGTTTATATCTCCGCTTAAGACATTTTGTACATTGATACAATTTTAGGATATATTTATCACATTTCAGTATACATTTCTACCTCTGATCAAGATACTTACACACTGTTTGCATTTCAAGGTCATTGTCATCATTTGCTGCACAGTTCTTTAAAGATTGTTTAATATTCTAATATGAGGCCTTTCTTTATTAAGCTATAGAAGCATTAAGAATTACATGTCAATAGTCATATATGTTTGTCACACATATAATTAGACTAATCAGATTCTTTAGATACATAAAGATTGTATTCCACATAGATAGGTCATCTTTAACAATTTAAAAGAACTATAGAATATGGCATTTAAAAAAAACCTTAGGGTTCTGTTGACATGAGACATAATTGCTCCTGGCAGCACCAATCTATTCCCAAGAGAATGTTGGGCACTGAAGACACTCCACTTGGAGTTTGTTTTCTTCTTGGCAAAACTACCCTTTGGGCAAGGAACTGCCAATCTCTTGACCACTGACAAAATGCATGGTGTCCGAACAGGACAAGCAGGATACAAGAAAAAAGACTGCCAAACCTTGCCAAAACAGACTAAGATGGTTCTGAAAATTTTCCTGCCTCTGAAAATTGTCTGTCAGTTACTCTAGGCCTTAGCCAAAGTTGGTTGCTCCAACAATGCAATTGAAACTTTGGGTGATTGCCTAGGTAAACAGTTGTCTCTGTCATTTACTGCACATTTTGGAAGTTGCTTGATTGCACTTCCATTTTACTCAAGTAATATTATTTTCTCTAATGTCTTTGATGGGGTTGAAGATTAGGTAGTCATAGTTATTATTCTCTCATGACTGCCAAGCCATTTCTAATGCAAGACTTAGACTTCTTAGGATAGGAAAATTATTGAAACATTTAGCATATATTTGTTGCTTGATATTGTTTATACTGATTGTAATTCTAATGTTTATACTTTATATTTGTTCTTATTGTATATAGTTTTGTATTGAACTTAGAATTCTCTTATTTAGACAAAATGGGGGCATGCTGTGGGAACTCCTTCAGGCAATAGACTTTAAGACACCAGCCCAGTCATGGTCTCTTATACTATAAATGCATCCATAAAGCTTGCACAAACACTCTCTCAGCTGCTGGATTTGGTTCCTTTTCCCCATTCGTGCAGAGGACCATGATCTCTGTGTCTACTCCTGAATAAAGAACCCTTTATTATGCTCAATTCTGAGCTAGTATGGGATTACTTTATAGCATCCATCTTCAATAGGGTTTCTCATGGAACTTAAAGCTAACTGATTTGACTAGATTGTCTACCCAACAAGCAAACTTCAGGGAATGATCCTACATGTTGCATCCACAGCTATGATTATAGATCTATCCCTGTACTTGGTTTATATGTGAGTGCTGGGGATATGAATTTAAGTCCTCACGTTTGTGTGCTAGGCACTTAACTGACTAGAGCATCTCCTCAGTCCCTCAAATATTTTAGTTGCAATGGTAAATTTTGAGAGTCAAAAATTTAAAAAATAAAGAAAACAATTCTTTTAAACAGATTCTTGAAACACGGAGATGTTGAACTGTAGCTTAGATTTGTCTGCCTCAGCCTTTTGAATTCTAGAGCTACAGGTATGAGCTAACAAACATGCCTTAAGAAAAGTGTTTCAAAATAGGGTATTTCAGTTACCATGAGAAATAGAGACTACTTAAGTCAAAAATGTTTCCTTGGTGACCTCAAACTCCTATGGTGTTTGAAGTTTTTAGACTCACTGACTTGAAAGCTTTGACCTGGTACTTAGATTTTTCAGGGCATTCCCTTTTTTGGTGGTGGTAGTGGATGGGCTGAAACAGCAAATGGCTATGCATAATTTCTTTACCAATTAGGCAAATAGAACAGACTCTTTGTCCAAACAGAAAATTAGGAGTCACCTTAATAGGAGTGGATTCTGAATAGAGGGTGAAGGATTTTCCTTGTGTTTCATCCTCCAGGAGGGTGTCAGTGTGGTAGAAAAGCCTGAAAGTGGCCCAGGACCATGGAAGCATCAGTGCTGAGCCCCACATCCTGGGAGAAACGAAGGGCATGGTTACAACAAAGTCGTAACTGGCAAACCCAGGTCCTGGAAGAGGAGGCTGCAGCTGCCCTGCAGGATGCACTGGATCCCGAGCCTTCCAGCCTGGATGATGTTTTCCAGGAAGGTAAGAAGCTTCTGGACATCACACAGATATCCACTGTGTCTTGCAGAAGTCTGCAAAGGATGGAAAGTGACCTCGCTTTAAAGTAGGACCTGACAGAGGCTCTTTTCAAAGAGTGTAAGAGAGGTGTAGTGTAATATGATATGTGAATTGTGTGAGGAGGAGGCACGCATATGTTTAGGAAACAAAAAGGAACACCATTGCACCATCCTGAGAATCTTCTGTGAGAGTCAAAGGAAGAGGGCTTGTTTGTGAATTAAGTTTGCTTGTGTAACAAGACTACATACAGTCTACGCCCAGATTCAGGCTGCAACTCTGATTGTCATGTGGCCTTTAAGAAGTCTCTCTGAAGATTCTTTGCTCAATGAAGCAGTGGGTTCTTTCTCACATACCCATATTATCTGCAGTACAATGAGAAAGACCAGAAATGTAGTCTGAAACAAAAACTTTTGCACCGATAAACCCACCCTGTTTTAGTTGTTAGAAAACACAGGCCTAGGGCTGTCCCTCTCCTGATAGTTCCTTCCTTCCTCCCTTCATGTATCCCTCCCTATCATTCTTCATTTCTTTTTTCTTTTCATTTTTTTAGTTTTGGGAAAGGAACCATCCCTATTGCCAATCTTTGGGAAAAGAAAGCAGAAGCATGGTAGCCTGGACACTGGAACTTGCCATTTTATGAGGTAGATAGAAGAGAGGCAGAGGCAGGAGACATATATGTCATCTTTACATATGAATACATCCCTTTTATATCTCCCCTCTATGGATGTTGTGGCTTATGTGAAGGCAGCTTGGTGAATGCCCTGAGTTGTTTGAGGCGGTGTGGCTTTTTTCAGTTACCACAATAACCAGCGTCTGCTTTTTCTAGGAAATCCAATCAATAAGATTGAGGACTGGCTGCAGGGCTGTGGGTAAGTTCTCACAAGCAAAGATGCGGCTGGTGGATGACTGTGATGGTGGACACCGTCCTTGTAAACTCAGAGACAGGAAAAGAGTAAGAATCAATTTGATGTGCAGGCATGAGGAAGAGACTTAGGTCTTGGGTCACTTGGTGATCTAGGCTGTGGATCAAATATAGCTCAGAACTGAAATAAAGTTCAACTGGTTGAGAATCCAGGATAGATCTGGAATAGAGCTCAGAATAGATGGTAATTTGCCTCTTCTTAGGATCCCAGGGAGTAATGGCAGCCCCCACTTTTCCCATTCTGATTGCAGTTTTACATGGTGTGGCAAAAATGAAGGAGCTGGAGGTGGAGTATTCCTTCTCAGTAGCAGAACACAGGAAAGGCTCAGGGACTTCAAAACCATGAAGGGTTCAGAGACTTTAAAATAGTACCACCTCTTTTCTTGAAAACAATTTAATATACCACAAAGAAGCCTGCAAACTTGCTTACCCTTGTTCTTGAAGGGTAATTGTTATGCTTTGAAAATATTTCCAAATTTCTCTTTTTTTAAAAAAAAAATTCTGTCTTATGTCTTTGTACTACAGTCATACACAGGGGACAATCTGAGTACTATAGGATGAGTGTCTTATATCTTGTACTGGTAATGAAGTTTGATTTGCAGAAATCAGGAATTTGACCAGTGTCGCTTTAATGTAAATTTTATTGAAATGTATCATATATACCAGCACAATTTTATTTTTGCTTTAAATTTTATTGAAGCAAAATATCCCTACTTAAAGATAAATGACTATGAACTAGTAGCTGAATGGATTTTCAGAATATATATATATATATTATATATGATATTTCAGAGAAATATCAAGATAATTCAAACAGAACACCACCAACATTCTAAAAGCCCTTTTTCATAATTTCTCCGTCACTCTTCTGCCTTGCAGGGTTAATCAATATGTTGATATAACGTCGTACATATGTTTTTGTAGGCAGAGTCTGCTTGTTCATTCCTGGCCATCCAGACCTGAAATAATCACACAGAAACTATAGTAATTTCAATACTGTTTGGCCAATAGCTTAAGAATATTTACAGCTAGCTCTTACATCTTAAATTAACCCATTTCTACTATTTTATTTTTATCATGAGGCTCGTGGTTTACTGGCAAAGTGCCAGCGTGTCTGTCTCCTGCAGCGACTACATGGCTTCTCTTTGACCCTGGCTACTCTCTCTTCCTCTGTCTGCTTGAAATTCCTGCCTTGCCCTATTCTGCACTGCAATAGGCTCACAGCAGCTTCTATATTAACCAATGGTATTCTCAACATACGGAAGGGACTCCCACATCAAGTTTTGGCATTTTCTGAACTGCCTTTTCTGGCTTTGCATTATTTGTGATGTTCATTCACCCATTTTTGTGAATCTATCAATCCTTTTTGATTGCTGTTCAGTATTAACTGACATAGATTATTTTAACTTTTTTTCACTTTTTAAAAATTAAAGATTTTGTTGCTTTTTTCTGTGTTATTTATAACAGTTTTCTTTTCAGAATATGTGCAGACATTTCTATTGAGTAATGTATAAGTAAAATAATATTCTGTTTTAATTGTTATTCTGATGGCAGTAGACAAATGAAGAAATTGTAGCTCTAATTCAAAGTATTTCAAAATATGGAACTTTTTGAATGCTAAGATGACATCACATGTATAAAAATTCCATATGATAGGTCACATTTGAAATGCATGCACTTCGTATAAAACAATGTGTAAGGTTATTGTCATGCTAACTCATATATGTGAAAGAGCAATAAATTTCACATTTTAGACTTGTTAGACTTGATTCTCTTTCCTAAGGCATGGTCATACTGATTTCCAAAGCAACTGTACCAGTTTGCATTCCCACCAGCAGTGGAAGAGTGCTCCCTTAACCCTACATCCTCTCCATCATAAGCTGTCATCAGTGTTTTTGAACTTGGTAATTCTAACAGGTGTAAGATGGAATCTCAGAGTTGTTTTGACTTGCCTTTCTCTGATGCCTAAAGATGTTGATCATTTCCTTAACTGAATTATCAATTCTCAATTGGATTGCTGTAATTTCACACCTTATTATGTATATTTACACACAATTTTATTGTAACAAAGTAAAAATTCAGATTCAAGAACCATAGTCGACATTTTTCATGATTGTACTGAAATTATGGTACTGGCTGAAAATGCTAATATATGCGATCAACTTCATAAAACTGAAGCACAACTTTACAGATTCTCAGTTATGAGTCCCTTTTCATTGTTAAATATCTAAGATACTTCAAGAGCCATCTGGCTAAGTACATGCTTGTACACAGACAGAAGGGAAGCTTGGCTTAGTACTAGCCCCGTCAGGTGCACTTCAGCCTTTGTAACCCCTTCACCCACACTTCTCCACTCCGGACTCCACCTGAGGCTACACCCAAAGCATCAGTCATAGCTTCCATCTCAAAAATACTTGGAAAGTAAATACTGCCAAACTCAAAATGTATCAGTGCTTCAGGTAGGATTAGATGATAAAAATCAAGAGATCCAAATTCCCTTTTGGTATTCTTACTCTTACTTAAAAAAAAATTTGGAAGGAAGTTTAAGTACCATTTTATTAGAATTTGAGGTAAAAGCCACAGGGCAGACAAGCTTTAAATCATGGCAGCTGCCGGATAGATGAAGACAGAACAGATGAAGAGAAAAGGTATTTTAAGAATTATTTATCTTATTTTTGAGATTATAAGATGATTACATGATTTCCCCTACCCTCGCCTTCCTCCAAACCCCCTTTCCTCTCACTCAAATTCATAGCCTCTTTTTATATTAATTGTCGTTGCATATATAAGCATGTATATGTATATAATATATATGTATGTATTATATACACATATTTTTAAATATAATCTGATCCATCTGTAATATTATTTATATGTATATTTTCAGGGATAATCTTTGGATATTGGATCATGATATTGGATAACAATTTGTTATGCTCTACCCCAGGAAAAGCTATTTTCCCCACTCTCAACATTCCTTATTTGGTCTTTGTGTAGTGTTGAGGCTTCATGGGCTTTCCTCTGTCCACTTTAGCATGTCTATTAGTGTCCTTGTTCTGTCCATGCTTAGACAGTCATGTTGGTGAGGCTTTATGTGTACAGCTTCTGATATTCATAGAAGAAACAATCTTACAGAAAGCTCCCTGTTCCTCTGGCTCTTACAATCTTCATTTCCCATCCCTGATTCTTAGGTGTAGATGCTGTGTTTAGTGATATTAGTTAGGACTAGGATCCAAAATTCTGCATTTTTACTGGTTGCAGTCTTCTGCAATAGTCACGATCATTTGCAAACAAAAGTTATGTTGATTATACTTGATGATTATACTTATGGATAGAAGGACAAATAATTAGAGTGTAATTAGAGATTATGATGGTTAAGTAAAGCGATGATTGTAAGTTTTCCTCCACAATCCATAACTTCACTAGCCCTGGGTAGCTGGATAGGTTTCCAGTACCAGAGATGATTTCCCTCTTGTTGAGCAGTCTCACATCCAATTACAGAGCTATAGAATACTGCTAAGATATGTGTGCTGCTACTGTATCATTAGGGTTATCCTGCAATGCTGCTTCTTGTTGGGGTTCACAGGCACCATAGCTGTGTAGGAATGTTGGTTGCTTTTCATCCTTTGGAAACTTGCTTGGCACCTTATTTTACCCAGTACTTACACAGCTTACTTTGCTTACCAATTTTAGAGGAAGGGAATTTGTTTTGTTTGTCATATTGCATCTTCTTCTTACTATCTGTTATGCTAATTTCTGTTTTTCAATATGGTGAATGATTGATAAGACATCATTACAAAACCTAAAACTGTCTAACAGAACACAGTTTCTTCTGTTTCCTGAAAGATGTGATATTCAAGTAAGAGTTTGGGTGCTAGAAAAGTGAAGGGATGTGGGTAGATATGGTGAACTGACAAAAACCTGAAAAAATTGACCTTTGTATATGTTATATAAAAATTAGGATGTCAGATATTGTCAGATTCTACTTAATAGATCTCTAGGAAGTGATAGCTATAATGGCATCAAAAACTTCTACTCTAGTAACATATTTCCCCAGTTTTTCTTCTGTATTTTTTCTTATCTTGATAAAGACTGATGAACCATTGCAAAACCAATTTCAGGCTATGCAGCCTTAACAACAGTAGCACGTTTAGGAAATACAACATATTGCAATCTCAGGCCCTCATCACTACTTCTATGAACCTGCTAGCCAAGTAGTCAGAGCCTAATTGTCTTCCATATGAAAGCAAATTCAATAGTGCTGATTCTCACTGGAAAAATTATATGAACATGTGGGAGCTATTTGAAGAAAGGCATGAAAATGTAATTTTTTTCTTTTGGCTTTAGAGACACTGAGGAAGGACTTTCTGAAGAAACAGGGCAATCCAACTGCAGTGGTGAGCTGTTCTAGTATTTTTATTTTTGAATGCTGTGCAGCTGAGTGTATGTATGTATGTGTGTGTACACAGCTACATTTATGTGTGTGTTTGAGATTATGAGTGTCTTTAGTTTCTGGAAAATACCGTTTATTTGTTAGAGAAGAGTCTAGAAAGTCCAAAGAGAAGTGTCACCTCAAAGCAAATGATTCTAATATTCATAGGTTACTACTATTGGAGAAGAAAAGAACCTTGCGATCTTTGCGAATTTATATTTGTGTGTCCCTAAGTGTGGTCACACATCTTCACGTGTTAACTACTTGGCAGGAGATTGTGTGCATGATTATGATTATGTGTGGCAAAGTACACAGATAAATTACACATGGATGTATATAATTCTTAATCAGAATATGACTGTGATTGCTGACATAAAGCTGGGAGAATATTTGTGGACATGTAGATATCCAGCATATTTGTGTAGTTATCTAAGTCATATCCTTGGACATGTTCAAGTGTGCAGTTGTGTCTATGCATTTGTCTTATGTTCTGACTTTATTTTCTGCCATGTTTCTGTGATGTTTTTGGCAGGGTACTCTAGCCATGGGACTAGCTTTGAAGACGACTTGAGTCTTGGAGCGGAGGGTGAGTGGTACAGCTGTAAGAGGTTGGAATCAGTGCAGAAGGACCATGTGGTGTGATTTAATAATAGGGTGGAGGGGAAACTTCATAGAGAATCAGGGTCATCTTTGGGTGGAAAGAATAGTTTAGTTTTCTTGTTGCTTGTTTGTTCTGATATACAATAACAAAAGTGTTCCAGATTTAGAAACATTTCTTCACCTGCCTATTATGATTTCGGACAGTATTTTTATGGTGGTTGAGGAGACAATATCAAAGTACCATAAAATCTTCTGTATCTTTGTGTTTTTTTCTTTGTTAGAAGTGCAGAGAACCAAAAAAGTTTGAGTGATTCTTCCTCTTCTTCTACTTCATCTTCTTTTTTGTTTGTTTGTTTGTTATTTTTATTTATTTTTTTATTTTATCTTCTTTATATTGGGTATCAGACCCAGTGATTCATTCTGCTAGGCAAATGCTCTCTCTCTCTAAACTATATCCCCATGCCTGAGAAGTGGTTTTAAGGGGTAAATTTTGCTACAGAGGAGAAGGGTTTAAATAAAAGATAAAAGAACTGCCTCTTTCCAGTATCTCCAGAGACTTGTAAGAGACCCATATGATGGGCAGGATCAAGATCGTAAAGATCTAAGTGACCCCCATGCTCAGGTCATAAAGGTCCTTGACTAGAACTCAATTACAGATTGTAAGTTCAGACTCCAGGCTAGGTGCTTGCTTGACATGTCTGCTGTACTTCTTAGGCTGTGTTAGATGATACTGGGATCCCAAACTCTGTACCACTAAGATGGCCTGCAATAATAATAGAGGGAAAGAGTGGAGCTATTTCATGGCCTAAGAAACAACTCAGGTGTTTTTAATTTTCCTTCTAACTTATTTTTACCTTTCTGCTCCTATCCAGCCACACTACTGGCCACCAATGGAAACCTCTTCTCCAGGTAAGTATAAAGGTTAGACTGTATAAATGGTGTCTTCCAAGGAGACAATAAACTGGAGGAGGTACAGAATCAGAAATTTTAAGCAAAGAGCTAAAGATACATGGCAAAGAGGAAGGCTTTCTAAGCAGCAAAGGAAGGCATAGTCCTCCGCACAGGAAAAGTATACCCAGTAGGGGGAACTTGAGGCTGGGTATAGATTAGAAACTGGAACTGAATGTTATCAACTTTGATCTCTACAGGAAACTCCTCCAGACACCCAGGCCTTGTCAGTTACTTGACCTTGGCTGTAGTTTGGCTTCCAGCAGCATGACTGGTGGAACCAACAAAACCAGTTCAAGGTAAGTAGGAAAGTTTGGAGGGTTAGGTTCATTGAGGGATACAAGACTATGGAGAATGAGCTGAGAGTCTGCATACTGGAGCTTTTGTGCATTGTCTATGTACAGTCAAGAAATATGATGATGTTTGTACCATGATGAGGGAGGGGCGTAGAGGACTATTAATATCAGAGATGGATGCTGTGTATGAAGCATAGGAATCTTCTTCCAACAAACCTGTACTCGAAGAGGTATAGTAACAATGTTATCACAGTACCTAGATGTATAATAGGTGTTCAGCAAACAGTGTGTATTATGTAATCAACTAATTTGTTGATAGAAAACAGTGCAAGGTCTTGTTCAGTCCAGGCATTGACTATATAGAACTTGCAAAGATAAAGCTGAGTTTGTCTTGAGGGTCTCAATTATTCCACAGAATGGAGAAGTTCCACATGCAAATAAATCTAAAACAAGTTAGAAAGTGATAAGAACTAGTGGAATATAATGAGAGTGTCAAAAATTTGGGGATTAAGTTTTAATTTGAGTAATAATACTTAGACTTAACATTTTACTTCCACGGTGACTAACCCTACATACATGGAACTCAATTAAATGGGAAAATATAAAAATAGGATTCAGATATTAAATTAGTCAGTGTTTTCTAGTGAAACAGAGGTTATAGAATGAATATTTCCCTTTTTATAAGGAAAGGGTGTTTATTAGAATGACTTATAGGCTGTGGTCCTGCTAATCCAACAAAGGCTGTCTATGAACGAAAAGTCCAAAAATCAAGTAGTTTCTCAGTCCAGGAGTTTGGACATCTTAGTTGACTTCCAGTATATTCTGGAATCCCAAAGCTGTAATGCTTTGAAGGAATGAGTATGAAGTTTTCTGTCCCAACCTGTCCTGAAGTCATCAGTCCCAAAGAAAACACACAGAGGTCTACTTTAATTATAAAGTGATTGGCCTATTAGCTCAGGCTTCTTATTAACTCTTATGACTTATATTAACCCATAATTCTTGTCTGTGTTAGCCACGTGGCTTGGTACCTTTTTCGGTGAGTCAGTCACATCTTGCTATCTTGCTTCCTCTGTGGCTGGGTCACAACTGCAGACTGAAACTTCGCTCTTCCCAGAATTCTCATTGCTCAGCCTCTACTTTCTGCCTGGTCACCCCATCTATACTTCCTGCCTGGCTACTGGCCAATCAGCATTTTATTAAAAAATGATACAAGTAACAGGATAAAAGACCATTGTTTCACAGCACCCCGCCCCCATTTAAAAAAAAAACAAAAAAACAAAAAAAAACAAGAACTCTGAATCTAATATACTTTGTTTAGCTTATCTTCTGACCATTATTTATAACAACTTGTAACCAACATTCTAAACAAAGGAAAATATCCAGAGTCCATTTTTTGGGAGAATGTGGGCATAGTTTTCCCAGGTTACTTCCTACTTATTGGGGGCACTGATAATCTTATGGAGACCTGAAGAAAATTTAAGATTATGGTCAACTCCTGAATGAAAAATTCTGTGGGGCTTGATCATCTCAGCAAGGAGTCTTGAGGGTGTTCCAGAAATAGAACTCAGACATCTGGCCACCTGCTCCTATCAGAGATTTCTCAGTGGTCTCCTTGATCAAACTTTATTTTTCTTAGCCTAAAATGATTCCACAGCCTCTGATTTCCTGTGGAAACAAAATCAAAACTTTTTCCAAAATAACATACCTTTGGACTTCAACTTTGAAGTCAAGGTATTTTCAAAATACCTATCTTAGACTAATTCAACAACATTTATGAACAAATATCTTTTAGCAGCTGTTACACCTTCCTCAGCATTCAAACAATTCAGAGAGAACACAATAACATATGGTATTCAGAATCTCTATTTTTTCATCTTTATGTGACTTTATTTTAACCTCTATTTCTTTTATTTTATTTTTAATTTTTTGCTTTTTGAGACAGGGTTTCTCTGTGTATTTTTGGCTATCCTGAAATTTACTCTGTAGACCAGGTTATCCTTGAACTCACAAAGATCTGCCTACCTCTACCTCCCAAATATTGGGATTAGAGGTGTGTGCCACCATACCTTGAACTCACAGAGATCCGTCTGCCTCTGCCTCTGAAGTATTGGGATTAAAGGTGTGTGCCATTACACCTTGAACTCACAGTAATCAATCTGTCTCTGCCTCCCAAGTGTTAGAATTACAGGTGTGTGCCACCACACCCAACTACTCTCTTTTCTCTTTTTTATTTTAAGGACTTTATCCTTTTTCATTTCTCTCCCAAGCCTATATATACATATACATATACATATACATATACATATACATATATATACAGTATAAACCATTTAGAGGTTTTTTCATCTTTGAATTTATCTTTACTGTATATCTCTTTTTCTGACCACATGAATCTTTAATTTGCTAAGCGTTGTGGTTAGGATTAAAGTCATGGCTTTGAAAGCTGGATCCAGCCCATTCCTTAGCTTTCTGAGATTCTGGACTCATGACAGAGGTACTGGCTGGAGCCATGTTTAATGACACAACAATAAAATGTATGGCATTTCAAAGTCCCTGCCACCACCAAAAACCACTCAGTCAGTTTTTCATCAACACCATTTAAGTGTTTTGTGGCAGGACCTCTTAAAAGAGCTGCAAGGTTTTGCAAATAATGCTGATTCAGGAAGCCTCTCTTAAACGAGATGCATTTGCCTCTAGAAAACAGAGCCCACCTGAAAAAATGCTGCTATCAATAAGCCATACTTAACTCTATTTTTTTCTGTCTAGAATAACTTTCCAAGCTCTCTTAGGCTTTTAAGTGGATTTGGTCAGCCCCAAGTTGGCACGCCATTCTGCTGTCCAAAGTTTTCTGTTCCATCTAGTCTTGCAGTCATCAGTCCCAAACAAACAGAGGTCTACATTAATTATAAACTGATTGGCTTATTATCTCAGGCTTCTTATTAACTCTTATAACTTATATTAGTCCATAATTCTTGCCTGTGTTATCCACATGGCTTGGTACCTTTTTCGGTGAGTCAGTCACATCTTGCTATCTTGCTTCCTCTGTGGCTGGGTCACAACTGCAGACTGAAACTTCGCTCTTCCCAGAATTCTCATTGCTCAGCCTCTACTGGTCGCCCCACCTATACTTCTTGCCTGGCTACTGGCCAATCAGCATTTTATTAGAAATGATACAAGTAACAGGATAAAAGGCCATTGTCCCACAGCAAATGAGCTTGCTAGGGAGGCAAGAGCAGACAGGCAAAGAGAAAAATTTTCTTATTCCTTGTGCTTATATAGGATACTAGCAGAAGGTGTGGTCCAGATTAGAGGTGGGTTTTCCCAGCTCAAAAGATCTGGATTAAAGGTGTGTTCTTCTACCTTAAAGAACCAGATTAGAAGTAGGTGTCTTCAAATTAAGCAAAAAGAATCACCTTTTCACAAATATGTCCCACCATTTGTGGACTTTAATTCTAGATGAAGTCAAGTTGACAACCAAGGATAGCCATCACAAGTACCTAGATTTTTTTTTATTTATTTTTGTGATTACATTGTATTTAAACCATTTCTCCCTGAGATTTGCTTTCTATAAATTCCTCAGATACTACTCCTTGTGTAAATGGAAGTTTTTATATTGCCCAGTCACATAGAAACACACAGAGCCTTATATTAATTATAAACTGTTTGATCATTAACTCAGGCTTATAACTTGTAACCAGCTCTTACAATTTAAATTAACCCATAATTCTTATCTGTTTAGCCATATGTCTTAGTGCCTTTTCTAAATAAGGCATTCTCATCTTGCTTCCTCCCCCATTTGGCTGGTGACTGACCCTCTGCCTTTCCTCTTCCCAGAATTCTCTTAGTCTGGTCATGCCATGTATACTTCCTGCCTTGCTACTGGCCACTCAGCATTTTATTAAACTAATATGAGTGACAAATCTTTACAGTATATGATAGTATTATCCCACAACATCCTTGTTCTCTTTCAAATTCATGACACCTTTTATTTTATTAATTGTTGTTGTGTGTTCCTAAATGCAAATAAAATCTGTATAATGTTACTTCTATGTATGTTTTCAGGACTGATTATTTGATGTTGGTTAATCAATTTGTATGCCCATCCTTGTGAAAGACTATTTCTCCTGTTTTCAGCATTCTTTAGTTGCCTGCAGTTCTTTTGTATAGAATTAAGGCCTCATGGGCTTCCCTCCATCCACTTTTATTGCTCCATCCATGTTTATTATTTATCCTCCATCCATGTTTATTGCTATTGCTGTTGTTTGGTTCATGCTTAGGCAGCCATGCAGATGAGACTTCATGTAACTTCTGACATTCTTAAGGGACAGAATCTCACAGAAAATTCCATGCTCCTCTAAGTCTTAAATGTTTTCTGCTCCCCCTCTGCGACTTTAGATATAGGAAATGTGTTGTAGATACATCAGTAAGGACTGGGTTCCAAAACTCTGTATTTTGATTGGTTGTGCTTGTCTTTAATGTTCCCCATCTATTGCAAAGAAAAGTTCCTTGATGAGGCACGAGAACTGTACTTATTTGTGGGCATAAAGATAAATAGTTAGAATTTCAGTTAGGGATTATGCTGGATTAGCAAGATGATTCTAACACTCAGCTTCTGAGCAAAGATCAAGCAAGTTTGTGTCAGTAACTCACCGGTGAGGAAACCTACAATGGTGGAGATAAAAAGAACATGGGTCTGGAAACACGAGGACAGGTTCAGGGACTTCATGATCCAGCTGCTAATTAACAAAATGGTCCTGGTTTTGATTTTTAAAAAAATCTACCATCCTTTCTGAAAAGAATGGTAGTGATAGTTAGCCTGGACATCAAATAATCCACACACCTTGCTTCCATTGTTGAAACATAGTTGCTGAAAACAGGTGTCAAGGAGATTCAACATGGTTCCAGCACGAGCATATATGTGATGAGAGTAGGGGAAGCACTTAGTCTTCTGTGGAACAGCATTTCTCTAGATGAACAAAGTGTCAGAAGGAGGGACACCTCTCTAAATCGGGCATTGAATGTACCTAAGTTCAAAATGAGACTACTATAAGATCTTATGTTCTTTACACACTAATTGTTTAGTTGTCTCACACAACTTCTAAGGCAAATACAGTGACAGAAAAACTGCAAAGCACCTGGCAAAAGCCAGATATATGGCAGCCTGCAATTGGAAACTGACAAGTTAGCAATGTAGGCATATTTCTTTGACTCTGTATTGCTCTTCATTTTCAAGGAATTTCCATATTTATTTAAATTTGTTTTCGGCTGTGGAGACAGCTCAGAGCCCTATGCTAGTATTTTATATAACAATATCTGGGATATACTCCCCATGCCTCAGACACAGAAATGAGGTTCAAATAGTAAAATCTCTTTTCAATAGAGAAATGCCCAGGAATAGAGTATAGAGAAATGCCCAGGAAAGAAATTTTAATTTTGATAAAACTATTAAATATAGTCCTAGGCACTGTTCTATTGCCATGAAGAGACACCTTGACCAAAGCAACTCTTATAAAAGAGTACATTAATTGGGGGCTTGCTTACAGTTTCAGAAGTTTAGTCCATTATCATGGAAGAGTGTGGCAGCATGCATGGTGCTAGATCAGTAGTCTAGAGCTACATCCTGATCCACAGACTGAGAGAGAGAGAGAGAGAGATCTCCTAGACCTGGCCTGGACTTTTGAAACTTCAAAGCCCCTCCCCCCCATTAACATGCTTCCTCCAACAAGGCCACACCTCCTAATCCTTCTAATCTTTTCAATTAGTAATACTGCCTGGTGACTAAGTATTCAAACATATGACCCTGTGGGGGCTATTCTTACTCAAACCAACACAGATATTATGAATTCATGTATATCTCCAAATTGTCTTATGTACCAAAACTTTCTTTCTTTAGCATCTCAGAGATTTTGGATCAGGTACAAGAAGATGCAGAAGATGTCCTCTTCAGCCTGGGCTTTGGCCATGAGGACCACAAAGATACATCTCGTATCCCTGCAAGATTTTTCACCAACCCCTCTAAGGCCAAGGGCATTGACTTTCAGCTCTTTCTGAAATCTCAGATGGAAAGGATTGAGATGGAGGATCCCTGCCTGATGCTGGCCAGTGAGTTCTCCCTTACCTTCCTTTCATTTGTAACACGGCTACATAACTCTTGGTGAACTTTATTCTCTTCTTGCTCTATCCTCATTTATATTTTTCCAAAAGTGGAGCACTATGGTGTCTGCTTTTTTTCTCTTGAAGAAACAGTCTTCAGGAAACCTAGGGCCATTAATGTTTTGCTTAGGTCTGTTGTCCTTCAGCTGAATCAAATCAGCATAAAACCCTTTATTCCACTTTAAAATCTCATTGTTGGGGTTATTTACTGGCAACTAGGAGTCTGCAAGCCGAGAAAGGGGTCTCTGGGCACTTTGGATCTAAACTGAAGGATCACCAGTGGATCAACCGGTACCTCTCTCTGAAATTAGAGCTCTGGGAAGGCTTTTGAATGGATACATTAAAAATGTAATTTGCTGATGAGCCCCTCAAGTCACTATCTTCATTCTTTGTATTCAGGCCGGTTTAAGCAGGTGCAAACGCTGGCCGTCACTGCGGATGCCTTCTTCTGTCTCTACTCCTATGTATCTAAGACACCCGTCCAAAAGTTCACACCACCCAACATGTTCTGGCCTTGTGACCCAACTGATATGCCATCCATCAGGATTCTGGATACAGAGCCTGAACCCCACTCACCCAGAGAACGTCTGCGGAAAGCCATCTCTAAAATGTGCCTGTATACAGGTTCCCGAGATCGACTGTCAACATTTCACAACAACCCCAAAAGGAACAGTTTGGACCAAGTTGTGTGGGAAGTGATGGACAGAGTGAAAGGAGAGAAGCTGGGTCTCCAGCAAGGCTCTGGGAATGGACAAGTCCCTCAGGAAGAGTCTGTGCCTCCAGTACAAAATACAAGGCTGTCCACGTCTTCTTTTTCATGTGTTTTCTGCCCTAAAGAAGAAACACGGGGAGACAAGGGCTGTGCTCATGCTCTGGACAGAGCAGGTCCACAATGCAGTACAGACTCTGTACAAGCAAGAGAGCTGTGGGGTCTACAGGCCACTAATGAGAAGCCCTATTCAGCTGAGAATGACGGTTCATGGGAAAGGAAAAGCAAAGTGAGAAAGAGCCTGTTCCAAAGTCCTCCCTCAGACAAGGAGATTAAATCACTGGACTTGTCCATCATCCAGAAGAAGGAAAAGCAGAGACAAGCCAGACATGAGCTACACCAGTCTCTAACTCAGCAGCTTGGGAGTGCTTCTGACTTAGAACAGGTGAGTGTCCTGGAGGTGAGGGAAAAGCAGGACGTGAATAGCTCTGGATTTTTGCTCCAGAGCAGACGATAAAAGGGTAGTGATTTGCAAAGGAAATCCATTATCTTGTTCTTATTGGACAAAATAAACCCAACTTGAGAACATTCAGAAGCTTTTGTTAAGTGTGCTAGTATAAATGTAAAAAACGAAAGAGCTATAGTTTCTTAAGAGGTTCCGTTTCTTATGAAACATACATGCACTGATGGTTTTTAATGTTTTTATATAAGTGAAATTGAATATTAGCTATATATAAAGCTACAAATTAAGGTATGTGTTTTATTACATAGGAAACCATTAAGATCTAGACATCCAGGTTCCAAACCTAGGCGTTGTATCCATTTAACTGTAGGGGGAGCTTTTTCCTAGTCCCACACTTGGCACGCTTTTCTTTATACATCTAGGTATAGTTGGATTTTTCACATACTTTTGTGAGCACTACAAATGATGTAGCTAGCACAGCCCTTTCCTACACAATTAGCCAGTCATTAGTAATAACTTGGACCTATGGATACATACTGATATGGAGAGGTTCTTGCAAGAACAGTAAACAAAACCAATACAAGTCTTTGCAAACAACTTAGGGTTATTTGGCAAGCAAATTTTGTGATTCTAGGTAAGCAGGGTCCTCGAGAGGGGATATTCAGGCTTCAGATACTGCCTCATCTATTTCTGCCTGTTCTTTCCCCTGTGGACCATCTAAAGCTTAGCATCCCTTTGACCTTGATATACAGATGGCACTGACATCAAGTGTCAAGATCATTTGGGAAAGCTTTCAAATCCTTGTCACGCAGAAAAATCTGTGATCATTTACAATAAAGGTCACATGCATGTTCCCACTCATTGACTGTAGATATGTAAATCATACCTGACTACCAGATGTCTGAGCACAAGAGGGATGCCTCTGAAAAGCACTCAGTCCTCAGCCTTCTTAGTAACTCCTTCCTACCCTGGACCTTTCCTTGCTCCTATCTCCCATTAGTTCTGTCTGAGTTACGAGGGGATTTTGTTCACAGGTACAAAACAACAGTGAAGAAGAGGAGGAGTGTCACTTGTCCAGCAGAGCCGGGCACCCCTACTTCTACCACACTTCCCTTGGAGAAGACTCTGGAAGTAAGTGGGCCTGTGCGTCAGGCAGTGTTTCAATATGCGGACACATCCTCTCCCCAGTGAGAATGTATGATTATCCACAACAGAAGTTGCCTACCACAGAGTACAATCATTTTACTAGTGTGGCACAGAATCAGTAGCTGATTTTTTTTTTTTTTAATTCCGCAGGTGGAGCTAGAAAATACTTCTCTAAGTGAGAGTTGTTCAGTTTTAAGTATATATCAGAACATCCCAAAAGTCTTGGAAAATTGCAGATATCTGGGACTCGGTTCACGATTTCTTTCTCAGTAGGTCTGAACAGACCAGACAAGTCTGATATGTTTGGATTCTGAAATTTAATTATCCTGAATGACTTTAGGTTTGTGAGGGGGAACAGGGTTTCACAGACATCTTGGCATTTTCTTGGGTGAGGCTGACACCTGGTGGACAGACAGCATAGGAGCAACGCTTTGTGTTTTAGAGCAGTGTCTGCTAAGAGGACCAGGCTCCGCAGTGTACTTCACAGTTTCCGTTTAAATTCAGTGAGCCTAGGATTTAACTTTCTTTCAAATTTCTGTTTGATATGCCTGGGTTTGACTAGCCCTCAAATGAGAGTTTGCTGTTGGTGAAGTTTTAAGATGTAAAGAATTTTGATAAAGCTGGTGGGTTTTTTTACTCTCTGTAATGAATTTTTTAAAAACATAACCCAAACCTTCCCATCCCACGTGTGTTTTTGACACCCCATTAAATGTTTTAACTAAATGAGTAGATTGTATTTCCTGCCAATGTAACACAATTTCACCTTAGCAGGAGGGCTAGGCATTCTGCATATTTTGCATCCTACATGTATAATTTTTAAAACTGTAACATATTTACAGTTAGGATTAATTCTATAATTTATATCATTAATTAAAATTTTCTTTTAATTAATATATGTACACATGCAATACCAAATAATTTTGAATCTTATAAGAGACAACTAAATGCAATGACATGTAGTAATTTTAGGAAAAAAAATGTCTTTAGAATTTCAAGAATATGAAACCAAAATAATTTAAACATTTCTCTCCTATGATTATCTGGGAGAATCAGAAATCTGTTCTCAGACAGCCTTTGTTTTCGTCTTAGAGTGTTGGTTTTCCAAAGTCTTTCACATTTTTTTTCTTCTTCTTCTTTTTTCTTTTTGAAAACAGATATTTTTTTCATACAAATTATCTTGATTATGGTTTCTTCTCCCTCTTGCGCCTGCCAGTTCCTCACCACCTCCCTTCCCATCTGGATCCACTCCCTTTCTGTCTTTTATTAGAAAACAAACAGGCAACTAAGAGATAACAATAAAATAAAATAAAATAGGATAAAAGCAAACACATCAGAACAGGATAAAACAAGCGAACATGAGAAAAAGAGCCCAAGAAAAGTCATAAGAAACAGATAAATACAGAGACACACTTGTTTGCACGCTCAGGCATCCCATAAAAACACAAAACTTAGAGGCTATAAGATATACACACTGTGGTGGGGGGAGAATTTAAAAAAGAAAAATTAAATTTAAAAAAGAAAAAGAAAAAATTTCCAGCATGACATGATGAGACAAAGAATCTCCCGACATGCCTTTGAGTTTGTTTTCTGGTAGCCATCCACTGCTGTGAACGTGTCCCACCCTTAAGAGTAGTCTGTTTCCCCCGTGAGATGTTTCCAAAAGAGACATAAATTACCACTCTCAACCTGTGTCTCTCACTCTTGAAGAGATCACAGGGTGATTCAGAAGCTGCTCAGTGCTGCCGAGACTGACACCTGTGTGGTAAGTGTGACAGGGAAATGGACTGATGGACACTGAATAGTCCTCACTCCTTCCTCTTTAAGGACATAAGGATGGTAGGATATGCGAGCAATATTCAACTGACCACTCTGTTCAGATGAAGAATCTTCATTGTCCAGAGATGCCCAACCTTCTAGGGTAATGGCTTAGAATCTACCCCTCCCCAACAATTTACCACATAAAAACTCTAGGGGCTAGAGAGAAGTGAAAAGTGGAGACCTATTATCCAGCCTGTATCAAGTTATATAAGATGATTAAGGGCTGGGTATAAAACATTGAATCTGTAGTTAGCAAGTAAATTTTAGATATTTTGTTAAGTTGGTGTGTGTACGTATGCATACAAGTTGTATATATAAGTATATGTACACATGTGTGTACAGTGTGTGCATGTGAATGTGTGGGGATGTACATGTGTGTTTTCACGTGTGTGGAGAAAAGAGGCAGATATTAGATATTTTCTTCTTCAAACTTTCTCCACCTCATTTTTTAAGATTCATTTTTTTTAATTCTGGCAGTCGTGGTGCATGTCTTTAAACCCAGCACTTCGGGAGGCAGAGACAGGTAAATCTCTGTGAGTTCAAGGCCAGTCTGGTCTACAAAACAAGTTCCAGGACAGCCAGAGAAACACAAAGAAACCCTGTCTTGGAAAAAATAAAGACCAAACAAACAAACAAACAAGCAAGCAAAAAGATTCATTTTTAAAGTTTACCTCATACAGTTTTATTTTCTTAGTGTGTGTGTGTGTGTGTGTGTGTAAGAATCAGAGGACAGTTTGCAAGAATCAAAAATCAATTTCTTCATTCTACCTTGTGTGTTCAGGGCATTAAACTCAGCTGTTAGGGGTCTGTTTGCCCACTAAGATCCAACCATTATTTTTTGAGACAGGGTCTGTTACTTAACACAGGGCTTCCTTACTTGGCTAGGACTGTCTAACTGAAAAACTCTCAGACACCACTGCATTTGCCTCTACTCCAGCTCTGGGATGATAGATGTGCACTGCCACACCTGGCTTTATATGTGGGTGCTCATGTGTTCATGCTTCCACAGCAGGTGCTTGCCTGATTGCTCCATCTCATCAGCCCTTGTTCAATGTTTTTATTACAGTTACAAACACACACAATGTGTGTGTGTGTGTGTGTGTATTCTATCATCTCTCATCTATCATTTACCATTTATCTGTTGTCTATCTATAATCTATATGTCTTATATGTATGGATTATAAATGCTTGAGAAGAACATTCACAGGTTGCAAAGTAGCAAAAGATGATTTAGTCAAATTTTTTTTTTTTGCTTTAAAGACACCAAGAAAGAACTTAGAAGATTTCTAAAGAAAGATGTTTTAGGGAAATAAGTGAAGGGTATCTTTCTAGTTGTGTACCAGGAAAACTAAAATTTATCTTTTAAATTGTCTTTAATTTGTATTAGCCCTTGTATACCTGCACAGTTTGTTGTTGTTTTGTTTGTTTGTTTATCCCCCTTTCTGTTCCTTGGTCTTCTCTTTATATTTTCTCATTATTCTTTTTTTCTTTTTGTACTTAGAAAACTTTCTTTTCATTTGTTCTTCTCATAAAATACATCCCAACCATAGACTCCCCTCTCTCCACTCCTTCCAGATTTCCCCATCCCTTCCCCCCATTCACTGCTTCTCCATTTTCCTTCAGAAAAGAACATGCCCTCCCTGTGATATTACCCCAACAGTACATAAAAAGAAGTGATAAGACTAGGGAAAAACCCTGATATGAAGGCTGGATGAGGCAATTCAGCAGGAGGAAAGGGGTTCCAAGAGCAGAGGAAAGAGATAGAGATACCCCCACTCTCACTGTTAAGAGTCCCACAAAAACCCCAAGTTAAACAACCACAGCACATGTGCAGAGGACTTATGGCAGACTTATGGAGGCTCTGTGATTGCCTCTTCAGTCTCTGAGCCTCTATGAGCCCTGCTTAGTTGATTCTGTGGGCCATGTTCTCCTGGTTTTTCTTATCCTTTTGTCTCCTACAATCCTTCTTCCCCCATTTTCATTGGGTTCCCCAAGTTCTGCCTAATGTTTGGGTGTGGGTCTCTATAAACTCCCATCAGCTGCCACAGGAAGCATCTCTGATAACAAGTGGACTAGGCACTGATCTATTCAGTCTGTTCATCACTGAAGGAAGTCAGGACAGGAACTCAAGCAGGGTAAGATCCTGGAGGCTGAAGTTGATACAGATGCCATGGAGTGGTGCTGATTATTGGCTTGCTTTTTCTTGCTTGTTCAGCCTGCTTTTTTATAGACCTGAGATTTCCATACCAGGGATGGCACCACCCACCAAGGGCCGGGCCCTCCCCCATTGACCACTAATTGAAGAAATGCCTTGCATCTGGATCTCATGGAGGCATTTCCTCAACTGAGACTCCTTGTCTGATGACTAGCTTATATCAAGTGGACCCATACAACCAACCAGTAAGCTGACCATTCCCACAAGCTCTGATCCACCATTTCCCCTACACATCTTGCAGGCGGGACAAGTGTTGGCCAAAAGTTCTATGGTTGGGTTAGCGTACCAGTCCCATCACTGGAAACCTTATCTGGTTACAGAGGTTGATCAGTTTATGCTCCAAATCCTTCTAGTGCTACCCTCCTAGGTTCCAGGAAGCTCCACTGCCCTTGACATCCACATTGCCTTCTAAATGCCCTTCTATTCCGGTCATTTCTCCCAGTACTTTTTCCCTCCTTCTCTCCCTCTCTGACCTGATCCCTCCTGTTTCTATCCATCTATTTGCCCATCTCAGGGAGATCCATGCATCTTTCCTAGAGCCCTCCTTGTTACTTAGCGTCTCTGGGTCTGTGTATTGTAGTGTGATTATCCTTTACAGTTAATATACACTTATAAGTCAGTATATATCATGTTTGTCTTTCTGAGTCTGGTTTGCCTCACTCAGAATGAATTTTTTCTAGTTTCATTTATTTGCCTACAAATTTTTTATGTTACTTTTTCTAACAACTGAGTAATACTCCATTGTGTAAATATATCACAGTCTCTTATTTATTGGTTGAGGAACATTTAAGTTATTTCTGTGGCTATTATGAATAAAACTTCTATGAATACAGGTAAGAAAGTGTCCTTGTGGAAGTATGTGGTGTCTTTTGGGTATATGCCAAAGAGTGGTACAACTTGGTCTTAACTTGATGGTTTCTAATTTTCTGAGGAACTGCCATATTAGCTTCCAAAGTGACTGTTTTAGTTAGGGTTTCTATTGCAGTGAAGAGACACCATGACGACAGCAGCTTTTATAAGGAAAACATTTAATTAATGGGGCTTACTTACAGTTTCAGAGGTTTAGTACATTATCATGGTGGGGATCATGGCAGCAGGCAGGCAGGCAGATGTGGTGCTGGAGGAGTAGCTGATAGTCCTACAATGCAGTAAACAGAAAGTCGACTGAAACATTAGGTGGTATCCTAAGCATAGGAAACCTCAAAGCCCTATCCCCACAGTGACACACTTCCTCCAACAAAGTCATATACACTCTAACAAAGTCACACCCCCTAATAGTTCCCGATGAGACTATGGTTAGTAGGTGGTTGCTTGTTTGTTCCCAGCTGCTCAGTCCTGAAATAACCATACAGAAACAGTATTAATTAAATCACTGCTGGTCCCATTAACTCTAGCTTCTTATTGGCTAACTCTTACTTGTTAAATTAACCCAGCTCCATTAATCTGTGTATCGCCATGAGGCTTACCGGGTAAAGTTTCAGCATCTGTCTCCAGCAGGGCTACATGGCTTCTCCTGACCCTGCCTTCTTTCTCCCAGCATTCAGTTTAGTTTCTCTACCTAGCTCTATTCTGTCCTATCACACAGGCCAAAGCAGTTTTTTATTCATTAACCAATAAAAGCGACACACAGACAGACAAACTTCCCACACCAACTATGGGAGCTAATTACATCCAAACCACCATAGTGACCATAGAAGTTTCCACTCCCACCTGCAATGAAAGAAGGTCCCCTTGTTCCACATCCTTGTCAGCATAAGCTATTCCTTGTATTATTGATCTTAACCATTCTGACAGACATAAGATGGAATCTCAAAGTACTTTTGATTTGCATTTCCCTTGCTAGGCCTCTTTAGCCTCCTTATTCTCCAGGGAAAGGTGAGTGCGTTATCCACCCATCTGCAGTCCCACGGTGCAGGACAATTAGATGCAAAAGGGAGTCAAGTCAAATCAGAAACTCAGTCTATTACTGTGAGTGCCAGCTTATATAGATTAGGTGACATCCTGTGATGTGGGGGTACCTCCAGCCAATGAGAGACAACCAAGTCCTCCCTCTGACTGGAGGGGCGTCTACCTAGATTTTGCTGTCTCATCTTCACTCGATTCCCTCAAACTTGACCCAGGCTTTTCTCTGTCCCATAGGCCTCAAGGTACAGGCCTTGAGATAATTTTGGCCCAACATTCCCTGAGTGCTAAGAATATTGAACATTTCTTTAAATATGAGACATTTTTCTTAAAGAAACATTCATTGGTGGTTGAATACATGAATGATTAGATTCAACTCATATTAAGGGCAGTTTCATGAATTTCTTGATTAGTGATCAAATATAAATATAAATATAAATATAAATATAAATATGAATATGAATTCTGAAGAATGTCAGAGCTATAAAAAGCACGCTTCAAGTATAAACATAGGAACTTTTAAATGTTAAAGAATAAGTGGTTAACTCTTCTTGGAATCCTTCTTTATTGTGAAAATAGCAGAAATCATAAGTCACATGACTAATGCAGCTGCTGTTGTTAGTGCTGATAAATTTAAATATTACTTATGGCAGTGAGAAACGAATCTACAGGTAAAATATAAAGAGTCCTGCCAACCTTCAGTTACTAAGCTTATCTCAAAATAGATATATATTACATTTCTTTTGAATTACCATCACAGGTTTTCTCGACCGCCAACACAGCATGATCTGACAACAGTGGCTTCACAGAAGAGTCAAACTACCACCTCATCCTGCAGTTAAGTTGCACCATCCTCAGCAACCAGATCCTGATCTTCCCCAAGCCTCTTACATCATGGGAGAAGCAGCATGGAACACTAGGATGAAGACCAGACTGAGAGAATTAGACAGTACATCCTGATGCTCGTGTAATTGTATGCAGAGAAAGACTTCCAAGTAACATTATTTCTGTATGGGCTGTTTTTTCTCCTTGGTGGATGCTACTCACATGATATGGATATGGGCAAGCTGAACAAAGACTTGCTTCTCTAAGCTTTGACACTGACAAAGATAGAAGACATATGAGTGGTCATCTTCAGGAGCAGAGGTTATACCTTAATGCTGTTAAAAGGCCAAAGCTACAAGAAAGAGAGACTCTAACTTCATTTTAAAGACTTTATGTGCTTTCCTCTGGACCTCGGCTCATCCTTAAGTATTAATTAAATTCCTGCTGATCTTCCACAATATCAAAGTTTTAATTTCTTCTCGATGTTTTTTCTAAAGATGTATCTTTGGAACATTTTCCTTAAACACACTTCCTCTCTATTCCAAATTTCTGTGCCCTCCTAGAAAAAACAGATGACTTAGCCTCAGGGTCCTTTATTTTGCATTATGTGAAAGACAAACACACAGACACACACACACACACAGAGAGAGAGAGAGAGAGAGAGACAGAGACAGAGACAGAGACACAGAGAGAGACAGAGAGACAGAGAGACAGAGAGAAGCAAAATTTCCCGCTGGCAGAGAACAATTCAAATAAAAATAACTTCTAAATTTTATCAGTTTTGTGGTTGGTAGTTGTTGAGTTTTGCGTTTTTAAGACAGGGCTAGGAAAAAAAAAAGACAGGGCTGAATTCAAGATTTGTTCCATTGTATAAAACGGGAGGAAACAGCTCACAGTCACACAGAGATTTCAGGAGATAGGATCGCAATTTCAGACAAGGTAAGAGCCAGTGGCTGGTTGTTTTGCTTTTAGGATCTTCAGGCAGTATTTATTTATTAGAATGCAATTGAAATGCCATTACACCTAAGTACTGGGAATATAGGACTTTGCCACCACACGGGGTTGGTGATAAGTTTGCAAAGGTAGTTAACAACTGTGCATGTCGTTAGCCGGGCGGAGGAGTGATATCTTCTCAGCAAGCACCATGTAAAACCACAGTGTTCTGTTAAGTGGTCTAGAGTACCCAGCCACTTTCTTCATACTAGAATATTTTTTCAATAAGAAAAAAATATATGTTTTCATAAGTAGATCACTTCATTATCTAATAAATTGAAAAAGAATACAGAAAAGAACAGGGAATTTTTTTTAGACATTTTGAAGAAAATCGTGATCTTGCGGGCTAGAGAAAATAAATTAAACCAAGTAAGAACAGAAATAAGTCAAACACGGGGCAGACACAGACTGCGTGTGGTTATCTAGTGAGAGAAAATTTCTTTTGTATCCCAAACTAAATTGTAAGTGGAGGAATAGATGAAGAGGGAGAGAAAAGAATTAATTTATTAGCCTCTATGGGTGAAACCAATTTGAAAAAAGATTCCATATTTATTTTAGTACCCAAATCCTTACTTTAAAAATCTTGGAGAGAGTTGAAAGGGGAGACGGTTAGAAAGAAGGGAGTAGGGGAGGAATGGGGAAAGCTCGGTTGACCAGGATGGGGGGGATGGAGGAAGGATGAATATGGGATCAGGGAAGAATATAGTTCAACTAAGGGAGTCATTTTTGGGATTACAGGAGACTTGATTATATATGGGATCCCAGGTCCAAGGAGAGATCCCCAGATTGTTCTCTGGACACAGGAGAGGGTGCCTGAACCGGCCTTGGCCCATAACCATACTGATGAATATTTTGCTTATCACCATAGATCCTTCATCTGGAGATGGATGGCGATACAGACGGAGACCCACACTGGAACACCGGACTGAGCCCCCCAAGGTCCAAATGAGGAGCAGAAGGACGAAGAAAATGAAAAAAGAAATAAGGACTGCGAGGGATGCTATCACCGACTGATACAAGGGGACGGATCTAATGAGAGCTTACCAATGCCAGTTGGACTGGGACTGAACGAGCACGTGATCCAACCAGATTCTCTGAATGTGGCCGGATTCTCTGAATGTGGCTAGCCCGGAGTCTTTCTGAAAAGCCATTGACAATGACACTGGGACTTGTTTCCTCTGCATATACTGAATTTTGGGGATCCAGTCTGTTTGGATTCTCACCTTCCTGGACCTGGAGGGAGGGGGAGGAGCTTGAACTTCCCACAGGGCAGGAAACCCTGTCTGCCCTTAGGGACGAAGAGGGAGGAGGAGAGGGAGTGGGGGAAGTGGGAGGGTGTTGGGAGGTGGGGCGGAAATGGAAACTTTTATAATTTAATAAAATTACTTTAAAAAAAAAGAAAAAAAATCTTGGAGAGATGGCTCAGTGGTTAAGAGCATTGCCTGCTTTTCCAAAGGTCCTGAGTTCAATTCCCGGCAACCACATGGTGGCTCACAACCATCTGTAATGAGGTCTGGTGCCCTCTTCTGGCCTGCAGACATACACACAGAATGTTGTATCCATAATGAATAAATAAATAAATATTTTTAAAAAATAAAATTAAAATCTTTACCCAAACAGTCACACTCTGGGCACTATAATATCTTAATTATCCAGAAAACCTAGATGCGATAAGCACCTCTCACTCTGGACTATTAACTACCTCAAATTTTGTCCTGTTTTGTGTTATACATCTTGCTCAGCTATAATCACTTTAAGTCAGTGTCAGTAATATGTGATTTTTCTTTCCCATAGATGTATTTGACCCTAAATCAAGCAGATACATTTCCAACTGCTGTGTATTACTGCTGGCAGTTTCAGAACACACCTGGTCTTCTTGTAGATAACACCTAAAATGGCAAACACAAAACAGAGCAACCCTTTCTTTAAGAGATCCTTCAGTCTTCAAATTTTTGGTTCAATACTAGGTAGTAAGAGATGGCACCAAAGGGCTGAGAGTTTTTAGGTGTTGAATTGCTTGTCCTGTTCCATTGTGTGGCATACCTGTCATATGTTTTATGTTATAATATTCAAGAAACTGTTTCACCTTACTATAGACATAAGCTGGAGCATTATCTGTTTTAATTTGTGCAGGCATTCCCATGACAGCCATAATTCTAACAGGTGTGTAATTACAGAATCAGCCCTTTAAGAACTCAAAGCAGTTTCACATTGAAATCATGAAAATGTCTTTATTGTATGGTGGACATATTTTAATTTTCCAAACTCTTCAAAATGAAACACATCAATTTGCCAAATTTCATTTCTTTGTATACCTGTAGGGTTATTACCTGCAGGTAGAGTTTGGTTATAGAAGAAAACAAGTACAACAGTTTTAATGATTTCCTTAGCTTGTTGCCAAGTGATGGAAAAAATAATTTTTTAAACCTTTGCTATTGGCATGGGGTTTTTATGAAACTCTGAGGTCTCCAGAACACTTCCTATTAATAATCAATCAATTTTATCATTACCTTGTGCTAGAGGACCTGGCAGGCCCATATGAGATCTGATGTGTTATATATATGTAGTCCTAATTATCTTCTGTAATTGTATAAATCATAAAGTTAATTCTGTGTTATCAGGAATAAATTCATTAGTTTTAATGTGTAAAACAGCTCTTTCTGTGTATTGAGAGTAACTATAGTGAGAGGTTCTGTAAAATCCACAAGTACCATGAGAACGGTATACAGTTCTGATATGCACAGAGCTATAAAGGCTTTAAACCCCTTTGCTTAAATTTCCTGATTTATATCTTGCATTTATTGAATTATGTACATCAATATAGAATGTAGGGACTCCAGAGATTGGTGTTTTCCTAACAAAATGTCAAAGAACCCAAGTGGTTCTTTTTATGAATTTAATACTCTTACTTTTGAGGTAATTGTTGTTAATATTTCCCAAAAATTATGACAAGGTCTTTGCCAATATCCATTATCTTTCCATAAAGGAAAAATTTTCTCATTAGTTATAGGTACTATAATTAATTTATGCTGTGTCCATTCCCGTCTGTTGACAAAGTCTTTTTTTCTTTTAAAATCAAATCAGAAATATTTTCTACATATGTCTATAATTTATCATTCTGTTTATGTGGTAGAAATATCTATTCAAATATAATATCTTTCCTCTGCATCAAAATACCTGAAGGATATTCCTTCATACAGATATATAGATATAGAGGGTGATATAATCACAATGCAGGTAAGCTTTGGATCCATACAATCCACATGTGAATATCATATTTTTTTCCATCAAGGTCAATTCTCTTTCAGATTAAGCTGATAATTCTTTTGGACTATTTAGGTCCTTGACCCCTTCTAGGGTCTTGACCAATTTTTTCAGGTCATATTTTTCTTTCCAATAGTGGAATTTAAATGCAAACTCTCTCCTAGCAATTTTTGAAAATCATTAAGAGTCCACAATCGATCTCTCCTGATCTGTACCTTCAGTGGTCTAATATTTTATAGACTTATTTTATATCCTAAGTTATTAATAGAATCCCCTCTCTATTTTTGCAGGAGCAGTTTATAATCCCCAGGGAACCAAAACTTTCTTTACTTCTTTGAACATTTTTTTAAAGTGTCTGCCTTAGTATCAGTCAATAAAATATCATCATATAAAAGGTAAATTATAGTGTGGAAACTGTACATAAATTATTTCCAATGGTTTTTGTACAAAATATTGGTACAGGGTGGGGCAATTTAACATTCCTTGTGTGATTACCTCCCATTGGTATCTCTGTACTGACTAAGAATTATTATAAGTAGGCACTGTGAAGGCAATTTTTCCCTAACATTTTCTTGGAAAGGTATAGTGAAGAAACAGGCTTTTTTTAATTTATAAAAGTTTATTAATTTATAAAAGTTTCCGTTTCTGCCCCTCCTCCCAACACCCTCCCACTCCCCCCACTCCCTCTCCTCCTCCCTCTCCAGCCCTAAGAGCAGTCAGGGTTTCCTGCCCTGTGGGAAGTTCAAGTTCCTCCCCCCCTCCCTCCAGGTCCAGGAAGGTGAGCATCCAAACAGACTGGATCCCAAAAATCCAGTATATGCAGAGGAAACAAATCCCAGTGTCATTGTCAATGGCTTTTCAGAAAGACCCCGTGCCAGCCACATTCAGAGAATCTGGCCACATTCAGAGAATCTGGTTAGATCACATGCTTGTTCAGTCCCAGTCCAACGGGCCTTGGTGAACTCTCATTAGATCAGTCCCTTTGTATCAGTGGGTGATCGCACCCCTCGCGGTCCTGATTTCCTTTTTCATGTCCTTCCTCCTTCTGCTCCTCATTTGGACGTTGAGGGGCTAAGTCCGGTGCTCCAATGTGGGTCTCCGTCTGTATCGCCATCCATCGTCGGATGAAGGTTCCCTCTGGTCTTGCCTTCATTGCTCACGTTCTCTTTCCTTCTGCTTCTCGTTTGGACCTAGGGAGTTA